AAATTACCAATAATTAATTATGTATTAAACTGTGTCATCCCTAATGTTTTTTTTTTATTTCAAGGAACAGATTGTAAACATTCGAGTTCAAGTAATAAATCAAGTTCAGAAACGAAAATAGATGGTGGATGAGATATGTAGTAGGTAAAATAATTAATATAAAATAAAATCTAACAATTTTTTTCTTTTCATCTACCATTTTACCTACTATCTAGTAGTGAATATCAATAGGATTCAACACTTTATTCATACGTCATAGTATTAATAGGTTTGTAAACTTTATAATAATTGGCAAGCTAAGTATTACTTCTACATAACCCAATTACATACGTACCTATTTAAATTCCATTAAGCAGGCCGTGGGCAGAGCAAGCCTAAAACATGAGCATTGGAAAAGTATTTTTTTCCTATGCCATCGTAGGTTGCCTAGCAACGTTTTGTTATTAAACGTTCTAAATACGTCCAATTTGGCTAAAGTATAGTGTTTAATATGCGTCAAGATATTCTATACCTGTCATGTAGTAACACACATTTTTGACTAAAAATACTTGTCTACATGTTCGCTTGTTATATTGGGAAGTAAATAATTAGAGTTAAAATTTCAAGTTGCCTCCATTAGTGTTGTAAGAGACGAATTGAATGCAACGCTGTTCTAACACAAATATTCTATAAGCGATATCCTCAACGTTCAGAATGATCAATGATCTTGTTCATACGATAGTTCCTTAGAGTGTGACAGGTAAAAAAATAAAGATTTTGTCACTTTTACAATTAAATACAGAGTTAAAGGATGACAATTACTTTAAACTATCTGAGAATCGATTCAAAATAAAAGTGTTTCTATTTCATAGATAGATTACATTTGAAATCGTTCAAATCTTGTGATCATTTGACAGACTTTCCTAAATAGAATGAGCAAGAAACTTCCATGGGTGCATTTTCAATTATAAAGTTGTTAGGAGGTACGAAATTTAAACCACGTATGCTTATTGTTCAATATTTAATTGTGAAATAATTAATGTCAAACACAGACCACACTGTCAGAGGAGCTTATAATTTTTCGCCGGTCAGTACCCATTTATATGTATTAAACTGTGGTATTTTATCTATTATTTCTCATTAACATAGGGATAGGTTTCGTGTATATTTTAGCATTTATTCAAATAATATATATGTATGTATATTACATTGTTCGCTCCTACCATTTTTAATACAAAGAATAATGTTGAGTTTTTCTTTCAATTTTTACAGTTATAAATAAATAGTTAATTTATTTGAACTCGCCCACCGAACCATTATTAATTATGTTTTCGCAATAAACATAGTACAACAATTAATACAGTTTAATTTTGAATCAGTTTTTATGTTATTTATTGGAACGGCGATCAAAAATGTATAGTTTATATAGCATTTAGTTGGAGCACGAGGACCCATAAGTATCCCATGCTTCATTCAGTCCGGTCACCATTTTTTAAAAATCATACATTTTCGATCGTCCACAGCAATTCAGAAATTAGTTTTGGTGGGATATTGTGTTAAAAAATATTGATAACAATGTATAATGTAACGATCATACATCCCATAGACTATAAGGCTTCGCGACTGACTTTCTATTGCATTATACTGGTTTTTTTATAACGCTCGTGTTGTATAGAAAAGATGTCCGGCTTATATTTTATGCTCAACCGAAAATGGAAACAGTAAATACAAAATTATTTATTTAATACTATACACCATAAGTTACAAGAAATTTCAAAGTTATGTAACACGATAATAGTTATGATTTCTTAGGAGTTGCAGATCTCCAAACATAGCATGATAATAAACACCCGTGCCTGCCGTTCTAGAGTCTCATTCAAACTCAATAAATTGAAAATGTAACTTACTTTGATAAAGTAGTGAAGATGCCGTGATCCTGACTGATGTTTAGATAAAACATTTTTACACGAAACTCAAGTTCTTGACATCTTTTTTGTATAATTTCGATTAGTTCGATTTGGGACTTGCCTAATATACTTATTCTATAATTCCACTTAGCTAGAACTACTTAGCAGCCCTTCGAGTGAGAGGGCCATTCACCAAATTTTGGCCTAAAGCAAATTTGGTATTTCATGTCAACTAAAGACCGCGAAGTCCCAATGTCTATCTAGGATCCATTGGAATTTTACACTTTTATTTTTCCATTGCGCACCGTCAACAATAGTGACATAATTCGAATTCAAGAAATAATCACTGACTGAAATCTGACAAAGTAATTTAAAAAAAATATATAACATCGTAATACAGATATGACATCTAGTTCATATGAAAAAGGAGAATTGTTTTAGGATTTAAACTATTTCTTCGGATCTAAACAGCGTATATTTGTATTTTCATTTACAAACCAACGTTTCGGGTCCTTTCCGGATCATGACCACGATTAACTAAGGGTCGTATATTAGAACTCTACTCAATGCTCAAGTCAGGATTTGAGTATGGTTTAAAGCACTCGAAATCATATTCAAGTCCCTGCCATTAGGGTCGTATTTCCAGTGCTTGTGTTGCCAGTGCAATCCTGACTTAGCATTTGAGCATTGAGTATAGTTCTAGAATACGACCCTAAGATCTGAAGAATTATGTTCATTTCCAATATGTAACGATCCCGAACACCTATGAAATGGACTGTTATATAAATTTTATTTCCCTAATTATTTTACTTTCCTAATTAAATTTATCAGGTTCCAAAATTGTTATTTATCGAGTTACTATATCGAGATCCAAAATATCAACAATTGTATTGTATTGTTATATGTAGTGAACATAGGCTAAAATTCCGATGGATTAAATATTAAAAATTGTGAGTTCCGAAGCTAACCTGTTGGAGCCTCTAATAAAAGTTCCGTAAAGACCAAACTGGTCTCTAGCATTAGGTGTAGATATCATTTTATATAAGACATGTAGGTAGTATATATTCAAATTCTTTGATTGTACCAATCGTTCTCTGTAAACTCGGTGTATACAAAATTTATCAGAACGTTTAGGCCACTGTACCGAATGTTATTACAGGAGAAATAAATAAATATTACAAAATTCAATTTATTTGTTTTTTTTAGCAGTGACCAGAGAGAAGGATTTCGAGTCAATAACCTCGAATGATTCCGGGATTTCTATTATTATTTTTCCTTAATGGCGACCACTAGGTTTGGTCCAGTGTCATGGCGCAGTGTCGCCAGGGCGACAGGCGACTTTCGTCATTGCTTGTCCGCCGATGGTGACAGACGACGGGACTTCTATACACTAACTGGCTTGTGGACTAATGGATCAGACTGATATGAGATTTTAACTTGATTATCAACGATTCTACTATTATAGACTGGGGTGTAATAACACGTCTTCTTTACCCTTATAATAACGTGAAATGTCATGTTACAAAAATTAAGTAAAAAATTTTGGCACTAACAAAATGTTAGGTGCCAAAATTTTTTTAGGACAACTTAAAAAACATACACAAACAAATGGTCAAAACAATAAATATAGTGGCTCGAGTTAATATATTTTCATTGACAAGTTGCCACGGCCACAGATTACGTACACGGCATTCGTTTATACATAAAGAGTTAGAATAAAATAACTGACTGTTTACATATCCTTGCCTTGGATGAACAGGGTATCAACTAAAAAATTGAGACTATTTACTTTAAAATGCAGTCCTATTTAAAAAAAATCGAGATCTTTCTAATGAACAAGGTCTTATAACGATCGGACGTGAAATGACGCGGGAGGCAGGGTATCTCTGAACTTTTTGCATGTTCTGGCCCCTTAACATTAAGCAACACGTATTCAGTATTAAACACGAAGCTGTAGTCGTCAAGACGTCGTCGTTCGTTGAACAACGTATAAAAACTAAAACACAACACATAGTCATAATCTATTAAGTTATAATTTCTTAGTTTGTGTTACAAAATAGGTAGATACCAGAATAGTGGATGGCAGTTTTGCCGAATCCGATCCCATTTTATCTTGAACGTAGGGCTATATCTGGTGCCAAAATATACTCCGTGTACTCTGTCTTTTTGTGTTCACTGACATTTTTTGATGGTCCGTTAAATATCTAATCCGTAGTTTCATACGTATTAGTGTAGCAATCATAGTTCGACCTCTCATACTTTTTCTCATACATCCAAACACACTTACTCGCTCGTAAAGTTCATCGTCTAAACTTCACTCACGCAAAAAAGTACCCACTCACACATACACAAGCCCGCACTCATCTAATGCACACACACATTACACGCACTCACACATCACACGCACTCTCACATATTTTTATTTTATTTTTTTCTTTTCTTTTTTATTACATAACTTGTTTCCATAGACTTATTGATCAGAAATTCTGAAGGTGGAGGCCTGGTGACCACAGGGTACCCTAGTTTAGGCTCCAGCCTCTACAAATTTTCCTATATGTATATACTACTATTATTTCTTTTAGGCTGTTACAAATTTGTGGAGGAAATAAAGAATTTACTTACTTACTACAAGGTAAGTGTATTTTAAAATATTTATTTCTAAAACGAAGACGATTATTTCAAGGTAATACCTTTTTTGGGATATTTTTTTCATTGAATATTTATGGTAATCTATAGTATAGAATATTTTTTTTAGTTACTACTGTGTTACTCAAAGTTTTATCGAATATTTCTTCTTTCATTTAAAAGTATGAAGCATGAATAGTTAAAACTCTGAATCACAAATATTTTATGTTCAAATGGATATTATGGATCTCTCTGAACAATTTCAGGATTTTGTCAAAACTATGGAACAGAATAAGAAGTATTCGAAAATACTATTAAATGTGTAGGCTTTACATACATATAGGTGAGGAGAAGCAAATAACAATAGCGGCTGAAATATTGCTAGAAGAAACTTTAAAATTGCTCTCCTGTAAAATCTGTTTTTGAGACAATACCCTGTTCATCTGGACCAACGATATCTAGAAAGTTACCGAAATGCAAATGCGTTAATTAGGTGCGGATTCCAATAAAGGCGGATGTACGTTTGTAAAAAGCGGATATTACTAAAAAACATCCCAATTTATCATTATAATTTTATTACCTTAAAACTATGTAACATATTTACGATTCTGATGTCAATCACTTGCAATACCGATCGGCTTTCATCTTACTCCGCCGATCTAGCAAAGTTTCATGCAGTGTGCCGTCTACCTTAGCACGTTTTAGTTCCGATACCCCGCCGTCGTTCAAGCGCAGCCTCTTGTCTTGGAATTTTTGAAACTTTTTGCTGAAAAACAAACTATATTAGTACAAAATTACTTCATTTCACTTGAGAAACGAAAGTCCTGAACAAGAAACGCCTTAGAAGAACAATTAACAGACGCTGCCGGGCATCACTAGTGGCGTTTATCACAAGACCGATCATGGTGAGAATGGTTGGGTTGGACTTTGCCAGCAGGCATTCCAAATTGAGAAAATTTTATAGAAATCATTTCCAAAACTCTCGTGAAGTATCTGACACGAATGCTACAATTTATAACACATAAATATATTCCAGCAGTTTATAATGCTGTTCCAATTCTTATTCTCTAAGCAAAAAAATATGTAATAATAATGCTACAGAGTTTATGACAACGTTTTTTAATTATCTCAATGTCATGTCTTTCTATAATAGTAGAGGTAGTAGAGATTTCATTTAAAATTGACTTTGCATATTGTTTATGTTCTTTTTAGTTTATTTTAGTATTGAGACTTTATTTTATTTTATTAGACGGCATGAATTAGCATGAGTGTGTATATAAAAAGATATGAATCTGTATACAAGGCGGATCACAGTGATTCAATATGTAACACCTTTTGTAACTTGTGTATCACAAAGAAATCAACAAAAAACAAATTTACAATGTATTAATTAACTCAAGGAATTTGCACAAATACAAATAAAATACTAATTTAATAATAATACTTTTTATGAAATAAATTCCTTAATAAATAAATTTGTTAATAAACCATTTAATTAAAAAAATAAAGACAATTTTTTTTAAATGCATAACATCAAAATATTCATACGTCTTTTTTTTAAATTACTAAGTCGGGCACTTTGGTTAGTTCATCAATAATTTTATCTTTAGGCAGTTACCTTGCTTAGCAGTCTTTTGCAATCTCGTTTCGGATTAATCCATATTTACTATTGCATATCACGAGTAGACGATAGGATTATGTATGTTATGTTTGTAACTGAGAATTATTCTGGTTGTTAATACTCACACATAGTTAACTTCCACTTCTGCCAAATTGCCTTCTTCTTCCTCCGGTAATACAGCTTTATTCACCTCTTTAGTCTTATTACTTCGTATACTGCAAAACTCTTGTGGACCTGCTTGCAGGCTCTGAGCTATTACCGAGTCGTCTTCGGGGTTAACCGACATGAATTTGCTTAAAGAACTTTGAATGGCTGTTTTGCCTGAAAATTAAATTCATGGTAATGTGGTACTTTAAGGTAATAAGTAGCTAGAGATGTGCGCCGATCGTAAAATCTTCGGTAGAAGTGGCGATGGCGTAATTATATTTATTATTCAGGTGTTTAAAAAACACAAGTGACGAAACAAACGAGTCGTTTGCGCCTGGTGGCGACGCGCCTGACCGTAGCAGTTGCAATTCCACTGAGAGCTTTAAATAGCAAAGATCTGACATAAGTTGACAAGTCCCAAAATGCCTGTAAATTCGCCAGCACCCTTACCCTTCAAAATCGGAACTCTATAATACTCACATTACAGCTTGGCGGCTTCCCTGGACAAACTCTTTAACAAGGATCTCTGCTATAAAAACTTATACTTTAGCAGTAGTAAATACTGTTCTAATGATTGTTAAAAAAATTGTGTTTGTGTTTAATTTAGATCTAGAATGAAATGGATGTATGTAGATGTTCCGTGATTAATTTTAATTATATGGAAATATTGTATCAAAATAATATGCCAAATAAATAAAGAAGCTAATACTTCATTTTCACCACGCCGATATTAGGCGAGGGGAGGCGCGGCGCACATCTTTACTCAGAAATTCTTTCATTAAAATTTGACTTTCACAATGTAATAGTTTGAAAACATCACAGACAACTCACCATCCTGAAAAACAGGCTCCCATTGTTCCATGGGACCCACAGCATCAGATCTGCCAATAACAATGCCCTCTTTGGTCACGCCTAGGTACTTCCCGTAGCCAGACTTGAGAGCAAACTTGTTCTCTCCTGCTGGAAATGCTGTGAATATTTCTTCCGGAGCTGGCCCATCACCTTAAACAAAGTTGTATAATAATAAATGTTATGAGGCCTTGAAATGCACAGATGACTGAGATGGTGGATTTATGTTCTTTCTCTCAAATCAAATCAAATGCATTTATTCGTCAACATAGGATACAGTACATTGAAATACATGGTATTAAATAAGTTATAGCGACCCTCTATGTTGCACCTTCAGGCATACGAACTACATAAGTGGATGATGAACATAGTTATTTTACTTAATTATTATTTATTTACTTAATTATTACTCAATTTTATTTAATGTCAAATTACTTAATTATTACCGAAATATTCGTTTATAGAGTAAAATGTTTCATTAGCAAGGTATTCAAATAGATTTCTTTTAAATGTTACAATGTCCTTAATGTTCCTTATGTCAGATGGTAATTTATTATGAATCTTGGCACTCATTGCAATAATACTATTACATAGGAGGGCAGATCTGCCACCTACGCTGTCAAGTTTATTATTCCTACGGGCACTCTTAACACAATTAAAGAAGTTTGGATTGCGTCTGATGAAAACTGCGGTATTAAATACATAAAGAGACATTAGCGTTAGTAATTTATGTTTCTTAAAATAAGGTCTGCAGCTATCTGTTCGTTTTAGACCACACACTGCTCTAATACACTTCTTTTGTGCTAGGAACACTCTCTTCACATTTATAGCATTACCCCAGAAAATTATTCCGTAGCGCAATTTTGAAGCTATGAAACCGTGATATGCTGTTAGAACCACCTCGAGGCTAGCTTTCTTCCTTAACATAAATAACGCGTATGAGAACTGATTCACCTTCTTACATATAAATTCTATTTGGGATTGCCATTTCATGTTACTGTCTATATACAACCCTAGAAATTTAGTAGTAGTGGTCATGTCAACGTCAATGTTATTATTAGTAAATGGGTTCAAGGGGGATTTTGTTAGTTGAAAGCTCATAACTTTAGTCTTACTGAGGTTTATACTTAAGTTGTTATTATTAAGCCACTCTACTACTTCTTTAAGACTGTCAAGTATTTTAGATTTGTCTTCGTACAGTATAGTACAATCATCTGCAAATAGTACCATCGGATAAAGTGTGGATTTTATTATATCATTAATATAAATTAAAAATAAGAGTGGCCCCAAGATACTTCCTTGAGGGACACCATGAATAAGCGTATTTGATCTGGATGTATATATTTTTTCAGTATTTGTTTTATTGCAGATTCTATTTACTCTTGTTAATTGAATTCTATCACTAAGGTAGGACTTAAGCACAGACAAAGAGTTACCTCGAACACCGTAGGTCTCCAGTTTTTCCAAAAGTATTCTCTCTCTTTCTGTTCATGTAAAAGGCTTGTTTTCAAATTGATATATTATTTATTGGCCTTCTCAAACTGTTGCCTATGTGCTGTATGGTAGCAATACCCTCCTTCATTTAGGTCCTGAAGTGAATTGTACTTTGTTCTAACAACTTCTGTAGTATACAAATGTATACACATTTGTGCAAAGGTGCAACTTTACCAGTATTAAAAAACATTTGAACGTCTATTTGGAATGTGTTCAGACGTTCTCCTTGAGCTTGGACAGTGAATAGAGGTAAGTAAGTGAGCATAGCACAAATTTTTTTTATGATTCATTGATGATTATGAACATGTTTACTAGTTATTTGTAATCTCATTAGTATTAACATTATATTTATATTTGATAGACAATAAACTGTTAACCACATAACAATATTACAAAAGGCAGCTCCGTAACTGTAGGTTTAGACAACTACACAGCAGGAAAGGCAGAATATTGATGCCTACAATATTTGTGATTTCTATTATTCATGTTACAGCTTAGAGTAGATAGTACAATATAATAGTTTTCTATGCGCTTACCATCATCATGTGGAGCTCCCAGAGTAAACAATCCATTATCCAAAGCTGATATGTAACAATTGTTACCAAACTCAAGAGAGACAGAACCAGTAATATCTTCTATTTTCTCAACTTTCCACCAACCACCATGTTTAATTGCCTCTTCGTCAATTTTTGAGCCCTCTGACTTTTCTTTTTTCTTGTGTTTACGTTTTTTGGCCCTGTAAAAGGAATTACAATGTGGTAGGTATTGTTTTTTAAAGGAATATCATAGATGTCTTTAGTTGATAGGTAAGGTATTGAGTAGTTACAGGTACTTTTCAATAAAATGCTGAAGGTGACTGTTGGAACTTAATTTATAGACAAATGACAATCTAAAAGCTCTGAATAGTATACTAAAAGTGTTGAATACACAATCACAATTAACCAATCAGAGGGCCTACATTGTTGCAAGAGCGAGACAGATGTATTGCTATCTTAGTAGTATATATTGTGAACAAATGTGTACAATGTAGCGAGCAGATGTGACATATGCAGCTACATGTCTATTTAACACTAGTCAGCTACATCAATATTTTGATATTAGAAACAAAAAAGGAAGAGCTTAAGTGTACAGTGTTTTTATGGCCAACACCAATATTCCTACATTCAGCAGGATGGGAAGAGGGTATATTTTTTGTATGAGTATAAAGATTTTGCAGTTCTGTCAGTGGCCAAACATAAATTGCATATCCTGACTTTCCCAAAAATTTAAATTGCAAAATTGGTTGATTTTGTGTACATGTTTAATCAAAAAAATTGGTGTAGCCGATCCAACTTAATATAAGCACTGTGGTGCTTGGTAAGTTTCTATAAAAGTTCGAGGATTAGGCAAGGTAAGAAGAAGTAAACGCACGCGAGCAAAAGCGAGGGATCCGAGCGATGCAAGGTCCGTCGAGTCAGCGTAAACACCAAATTATCAATGACTAGAAATTGCTAAGTTTCAAATACTTAGGTTACTACTTTCATTATTATTCAAATTTTTAGCAAATTTAATGATGAAATACTATAATATAAATAGGTCATGAAAGTTAAATATCTGTAAATATTGAATAATAACTTACTTAGGCTTGTCTCCTTTTAGAATAAGCTTTCCTCTTTTAACTGCAGCATATTCATCGCCCATAATTTCTCAAACGTAAACAACAACTAATAAATGTAACAATCAATAGAACGTCGCTGATAATTATAATATTTATGTGTGATATTTTACGGCAATTAAAACTATTTTTTGAGACAAATAACAATCACTTTCATATGCTCCAAATAAATAAAATAATTACCCGACAACCACAAACTACCCGACAACCATAAACGCTTACGTCATAAATTTATTTGTCAAAAATTGATCGATTCCTTTTTTTTATTAAGAGTTTTGGCTTGGATACAAGTCCTTTAAGCCATGTCTTCATAAAATGATCGGGATTCTCAGTCCATTATGATTCTAATACGTTGTTTTCACATTCTCATAAATAACTTAGTTCACTTATTTGGGTTTTTTAAATCGTCTTACGCGGCGGGAGTCAATGTTTATGTTTTCACTTTCAACAAAAGCTTTGAATTCGTAATTATTGGAATTTTTAGGATAAAGTCTTTTGTAATTTGGTTTAAAATAAGAAATATAAATCTAATTTTCTTCATTACTATTTCTTTCTTTGTTTTTTCTTCATAATATACTTAAAATAAACATAATCTTTGTAAAAGCTGCACTTCTAACTTCAAAAGCCCGCCATTTCTTTTCTCTTGTTGATTCCACAGAGTACTGCTTTCTAGAGGTGGGCGTTTAGACGAAAAGCACTTTAAAAAGTTGGCTTTTTAAAATAACACATTTTTATTTTATGCGTAAAGTTTGGTTAGTTCGATAATTAGTTATATACTCAACAATTTAATTTTTACAACGCCTAAATTTCAAGTCCCACCATTATGTTTCCTAAACAAATTAATTCGTCAATGTGAATAATAATTTTATAGATAAAAATAAAACTGATGCTTTACAAATAAACTTACCTAACATAAAACCTGGTTTACTCTAGCTTTTAACGTTGCAAATTTTTATAACAGTCTATGCGCATGAACGTTATACTAAACGATTTTTTAAACTTCAAACTAAAAGCACGCTTTTCAATAGCTAGAGCTACAACGTTTAAACGCTTAAAAGAATAAGCAGTTTTTCCCATTACTACTTCTTTCTCATTATACAAACACAAATTAGAAAGATATTAAACAAACACACATCAATTTGTCGCTAGTTCATCCTGCTCCGATTTTATTGCATCTTGTTCTATTACGTTGCGTTGCGTTGCGTTAACAAAAATGAAAAGAGTAAAAGAGATATAGGTGTACATTTACTATGAATTATTATTTAGACATGCCAATAACGGCTGTTTGTCAATAATATTAATGAGTTTGCGTAAGAATAATGCATTACATTATTTGCTATTGTAATAATGACCACTGCTACAATTGAATTGAATTGCTTTTTATTATTAATAAATCAATTCAATGTGAGATCTTAATTATCAATTGAACACGATCAATGCGCAGAATTACATCCATCATAGACAATATGAAAAATTATTTTTTTATATTCCTCTTTTTGTTTCTGTCGTGCCCACAAGAGAACCTATCTATCTATTCCTTTCGAATGCTGATCTATACCTTATGAAAGCATAGACAAAAACATCTATGAATGCACGCCATTTTGTAATTTTGAGCATGTTGACTCGGTTACGAAAATGATTTTCTTTTCTCAAAAATACAAAGTTAGAATTGTAATTCTATAATATATTTAGTGTTAAAGTAGAAAACAACAAACATGGATATGTCAGAAGTAAAATCGTTCAACGCGGAGGTATATATAGCGGTGTTTATTAGAACTTGTTAAGAGTCCCGTGGCATCATTTTAATTACTTTTTTCTTTCAGTTATCCGGGTTGTACGATAACAAGCCACCTATCTCGAAGGCGAAGATGAGTGCTATCACCAGAGGTGCTATCAAGGCCATAAAGTTCTATAAACATGTAGTGCATAGTGTTGAAAAATTTATCCAGAAATGCAAGCCTGAGTACAAAGTTCCTGGGTTATACGTGATAGATTCGATAGTACGGCAGTCAAGGCATCAATTCGGACAAGATAAGGATGTGTTCGCACCGAGATTTGCAAAGAACATGCAGCAGACATTCGCGAATTTATTTAAATGTCCTCCTGAAGATAAGGCAAGTTACATAAAAATTGAGGTTATGTCTCCTTCTATTTCATGTAGACTATAGATGTACTAACGAAAAATAATAAAAACAGTAGGGCTGGATGCAACTGTTTTTATGATGATGGTGAAGTCGGGTCATATAGATAAGAGACGTAGATTAGTTTGCTAATGTGTGAAATACTTACAGGTTTGCAAACTAAGTGGTAACAAATTGCTATCTTGGTTTTGTAGATAACTATTTGAAATTGGATGTGAGATATTATGTCCTTAAGTTTTGCTAATTCGCACTTTAGGAATAAAACAATTTTGTATTTGTTTTTTAACAAACCAATATTTTGGGCTTTTAACAGGTCCCATGATCATAGCAAATTGTCTAATTTAGACGTGAGAAAAAAAAAGTTTTGTTTCCATTGTATTTGGGAGTTCCATACTTAATGATTATCATTAATTACAGGTTTTTACCACTGTATAACTCTTTATTACTTTCCTAATGTTTCAAAGCAGTTACATAGGACCCATCTCCCATCCCACCCAAAATAATAAAAAGTCACATGGTAGTAAATGTGTGAGTGAATTATGGGTTGTATTCTAGAACTCTACTCAATGCTCAAGTCAGGATTTGAGTATGGTTTAAAGCACTCGAAATCATACTTAAGTACCTGCCATTAGGGTCGTATTTCCAGTGTTTGTGTTTCCATTGCAATCCTGACTTGAGCATAGAGTAGAGTTCTAGAATACGACCCCATGAGTCTTAAAATCTGAAAGCCCATAACCGTTACAGATTGTAACATAAAAGTACCAAGTCACATCATTACTTTGACTATATAAATACTTGTTTTCACTCTAATGAATAAGCAATAATAAGTAATCTAAAAATGAAATAATAAGTCTTTGCAAATAGTAAAATATCAGTTTTGATGCTAGAGGTTTTAGAAAATATACATAATTTAAAACTTTATTGCACCACCATATTCTTCCCGTGTTTGAACAATCAAAGGTATGAGACCATCCTCACTTTGTCTATTGTAGCTCAAGATAGTACTTTACAACAAAATCCATAATTCTAAGCCACTGCAATTATTCATTCTCAGGTTGTTTGTTTTTCCTCTCTCTCTCTCTCTCTCTACTTCTTTTTTTTTCGGACCTTCCCATTTTCAGGCCCTTTACAGGTCCCATGATGTTATGAGTTGGTTTAATTGAAAAAAAAAACTTGATTTTGATTTGATTAAATAATTTCCTAATTTAAAGCTACTATTTTTTTGCAGCGTAACATCATCAGAGTACTAAATCTGTGGCAGAAGAACAATGTGTTCAGCTCTGAAGTAATCCAGCCTCTGCTGGACATGGCTGACCCTAATCACCCTCTGCATCAGGAGTTACAGCAAAACAATGCTAATGGTAAGTTCAGATTTAGAATTTTAACATTATTTCATTATTGATTGATAGCTTACATTTTTTCTGCAATATTTATGGAAAACAATATGGTTTATATAGTTTCTTGACATTGGTTTTTTTTACTCATAGAGCTGCAAATAGAAAGGTAATTTAGTATCCCGAGACTAATAAGAGGAAGCGGTAGTGTATTTGCTATGCTTTGAAAAGTAAAAACAATTAGGTAATCCAACTATTTGCACTGTGGGCGCTGGATTAGGAGGTGCTGAGTTGGATTCCCCTCATAATCAATTTGGGAAAGAGCTTTTCTGAATTGCTTCTATGTTGAGTAGTGCCTGAAGTGAATTTCAAGACAAGACATTCAAACAAAACATTTAATGTGGCACAAAAATAGGTTAATGCTTCCTATATCTAGATTAAGAGTTTGTCTAGTCCATATGTCATGTCCATAAATATTTATAACAAACAGACTGGTGTACTGAAAAACGAAACCAATGATAGAATATTTAAACAAAAAATTAAGAGTCTTATAAATATGAAAACAGCCTACTTACTCTCTTCCCTTCTACTTTGTTATGCCCAACAGGGTCCATGATGTGATCTTCCTACTATGTAACACCTTGTATACCATTGTGGAATGCAAATTAACATATTGAATATTGAATTTTGTTGCCCTGGTACTCATAGTACAGGGTATTCCCATTTGTTGATCAGGTAATTGATGTAGTTGTAAGTCACCTAATATATAATTATTACCATTATATTACAAGTTTAAGTTGTACAAAAAAAAATGACTAAGCGAAATATATGTAATTTCAGGGAGCAGTCTCAGTGTGAGCCACAATGCAAGCGACAAGATATCCCCCGGGCCTGCTGCACAGCACACTCCACATTCCTCCACACCTATGGGTGAACAGGTAAAACAGAATTCAATGTTCACACATCAACATTTACCAATCAATTCCGATATGCAAGCATCTGATCACTGTGCTAATTACATAACCCTCCCAGTTATTCCGTCATGGCCGTCATAAATTGGAACACCACATTTCAAATAATTAGTACAATAGTTTATTACATACAATAAAAGAAAAAAAAAATTAAAATAATTGTAGACAATTAGGCACTAAGTAAATAAAATTGCACACAGCAACAATTAGAGCTAGAAAAAAATTACTTTTAGTATTAAATAACTAATTTCATTAGCATAATGAAAATGTACACAAATACATATAATAAGACAAATATGATAACTCCATACTCCGTAGCAGTGCGGCTTGTATGTGTGCGCGCCCGCCGCGATGTGCGTCTGTACACGGGTTGCGCGCGGCGGTCACGCACACATACAAGACACGCTGTTACTTTGTCCAGAGTTACCATACCTCTCTTATTTTACTATAGTTCTACTTCTTCTAAGAACTTAATTAAAATTGACTATCTAATGGCGTCATTACAGTTCAATTCTTGATATAACATGCAGAAAATATAATAGCTGTTAATTTCATAGTTCCAGGATCAACCGTCAGGTGGCGGCGTAAAATTCAACCGTAAGTTGTTGAATGACTTTGAATACGACAGCGAGGATGACGCCGCCGCGGCCGAGCCTTTGCCGCAGCCGCCGCCTCAGCATCAGCACCAACATCAGCAGCAGTCCAATAATCCCGCCGATGCTCTGGGCAGGTAAGATATAACTATAAAACATTGCTCTGAATAATTTTGTAGCTGGTCACTGTAGTAAATATCTTATTACCACATCAGTTAAAGTTGGGCTTCTCTTCGAATAACTGTAAAGTCGCCATTCAAAAGGACAACGGAAAACATGAGTGTCTATCTCATAGATTCTTCATTTACTTACACATTTGCAGTACTGCCCAATTTTGCGTGGAACAGTTTAAGGGCCCGAAAACATGCCCGGGCCCGAAACGTCAGTTTGTTAGAAAAAACAAATATACGCGATTTAAATCCGGAACAGTTTCATTTCCTATGTGTAACAATCGCGAAAACCTAAGAACTTAATAAATACATTTGACATTATGAAAATTCGAGCTACCGTAATTCGGGCAAATGTATTTTCTGACTTCTGATAGGTAATCCCAAGCCCCAAAACGTGTACAGCGTTTAATAAAAAAAGTCATTTTAAAAATAAGATTAAAATCAAAGCGACTCTATAGTTTCTTTGTTCTAAATATTTCAATCGCTTGTGGTTCAAACAATTGGAAATGACCAAGTTTATATAAGCTTCTTGAAACTGACGTACAGGATCTCTTTCCATCTTTTGCGCATGCAAAGTGTAGATAAAGGACAGTTAGCTGTTTGATTATTTTGTGTGCTTTTGTAATTTATATTTACGACTCATTTATATATAAATTAAATACTATAAAACTGTACAAAATAACACTTTTAATTGAAAACTATGGTAACTCAATATATTTGTTTAGTGAAAACATTATACAAAATCCTGTTTTTACACTTTACTGCAGTAATTTTTACAAGCGATTATTATATGGTACTGCATGATTGACAACCGCGCTGTTAGTCGAACAAACGCAGACTGTTGTGCAATTGACGCTATGTATGTGATTTTAGCGCCCAATACGTGCGGACACTTTTTAGCGCGAACCCGACGTCCATTTATTGGTAGTCAATGTGATTTGGGTTCAGTTTCGGATATAGAATGATCTCTGTAAATATGGCGAGAGTACAAATCAACATATTGTGTAAACGTTCCTTGTGTTCTGGAATGGGACATAGTCGCTTCATTATGATATCAAGTACTATTGTTTTTGTTGTAGCAACTGTTATACCATAAAACTTTTAAGTTTGTACTATACTAAAATTTCCGAATGAATTTTTACTCTAATGACTAACAGAATAGACTAACAGAGTACAATTTAAATCTAAGTTTGAAGCCCAGTGTGGTATATTGTATTTGTCACCCACCTAATTCTGCTTTTCTCTCCATTTCAGCATTCTAACAAATCCCGAGATTATGCGGCAGTTGCAAAGTCTTCAAGCGCAAATGCAAATGATGACAGGAATGCAAATACCGGTAAGGTTCAAACATTATCTATGCTTTTTTAAAAACAATCCCGAAATGCAGGTTTCGGCAGGCAAATATTTCTCCCGACCAGGGAATCGAACCCGGGACCTCTGCGCGGCAGTCCAGTATGGTAACAGTTCGGCCATGCAGGCAGTTAACTGTTAACTGTTTTTAATAGTTGACTTTTTAATTTTTTATTCTTAACTATTACGATCTGTGGAATATTAGCGACAGCTGCACTGCCCTCAGAACGCAAAAGGTACAACTGCTGTATAAAGTACGCATACTTGCGCCTTTTTTCGTTACGTGGGCAGTGTATTCACTGAATAATCCTGCATGGCGGTATCGAAGACCCATTTGCCTTATTTGTTTTGTTGTACAGTTACAAAAAAGTTATTTAGAATTTTAATTTTCATATTTTTCCAAAAATTATAGTACATATTCAGTAATTCATGTTTAAAATTTTTCAGAATCTAATGCCCATGATGGATATGCAGTTACAGCAAAACCAGAATCAGAATCTTCCATTTTTGGTAAGTCCAAGTCCAACAATTTCCATTGTTTAATAGACATAACTGCCTCTCTGCATAACTGCCGTGGCCGAACGGTTACCATGCCGGGCTGCCTTGCAGAGGTCCCTAATTCCCTGGCCGGGAGAAATATTTGTATAGCCTACATTTATTTCTCTCGTGGGTTTGGGTGTAATTTGTGGTTGTCTATGTGTGTCTTCCAGGTGCGGGCCTATAAAATAATAAAGAAATAGCTACAAAGTGTAACATAAAAAGTATAAGACCATTCAAATTGTTCATGCATACCAGAGCTTTTGTTTTTGAATATATTTCGACCCCTCCTACGTAAAGTATCAGGGGAGCGTTATAAAGTTCTGAATTCACTGAACTGAGCATAACATGTGACATTAGCATTTCTCACTTATATTTGGCAACTCTCGTTACTCACATAGAGTACAATAAAATCTTAGTTATCGTTTAGATAATCTATGATGATCTATTAGATGATCTCTTTCAGTGAATTCAGAACTTTAAAACTCCCCTGTAAACTTGGCAATTTCAACATACGATGCTTTACGTAGGAGGGGTCGAACTGTTTTAGGGTCGTATTCTAGAACTATACTCTGCTCAAGTCAGGATTTGAGCAGATTTGAGTATGATTTCAAGCACTGGAAATACGACCCTAATTGCTAGGACTTGAGTATGATTTTCAATGCTCACTGCAATACTCAAGTCCTGACTTGAGTATTGAGTAGAGTTCTGGAATACGACTCTTAGAGCTCTTATTGGCCACTAACAACTTAGTTCATCCAACTCATATATTATTTACGTGTAAGTAATGAAGATTTTTAGAATTAATAAAATACTTTTCAAAATATTACGACCCCTCCTACGTAAAGTATCGTATGTCGAAATTGCCAAGTTTACAGGGAAGTGTTTTAAAGTTTTGAATCCACTGAAAGGAGCATAACAGGTGACTTTAGCATTTTTCAGTTTTATTCGGCAAACGGTTACTCACGTAGAGTGTTGTAAAATCCTACATATCGGTTAGATGATCTATTAGATTAGCTTTGTCGTGTTATGCTCGTTTCAGTGAATTCAGAACTTTAAAATGCTTCCCTGTAAACTTTTTTTCACATACGATACAACAACAAACAATTTCGACATACGATACTTTACGTAGGAGGTGTCGATTAATTCCTAACCATATTCTTTACACAGCAGTGGACAGCGTAGGCTTTTTAAAATAAAAAAAATCGTATTTTTGATCAATAAAGTTAAATTATTTTTTGTCTTTTGGTGTCCTGACTTTTGATGTCTCAGTCTAGTATCTGCCAACATTGTTGTTTAAATTTCGGTCGATATGTAACAAAATGCTTGTTCCAGAGCTCGCAACAAGATCAGCAAAAGCAAGGCGATAACAAAGACGATATGGCCAACGAGTCTGACATTGAGTTCGTCGAGACCGGCCCGCAGGTTATTGAAATACCTGACGCCAATGACTCCAGGTTCGTTTCTTTTTTTTCGTATAAAATTTAATCCAAAAAAAAAAATCTTTGGGATCCTCTGTCTGGTCTTTTTTGAAGACGGAGTAAAGTGACATTTACCGGGTTGCCAGTTTTCCTAAAATTGTAAATAGTCATGTAGATGTTGTCGACAGTTTTATCGATAGATTGTGAAAGTAGGTAAAAATTTGCAAAAAATGTCTGTATTGTGAATGTTGCGTCATTCTAAGGATTACTAATTGCGTTATTGCATTCTTTATTCTTATTTTCACAGTTGGTCTATTACTATCGAAATAATAACGGTAGGCGAACGAAAAACTTTAAAATATATCTCCTGCGTGTATTATTTATTCACATACTGCTAAATTTCGTGTATGTGTGAATTTACAAAAGTTATCAATTCAAATGAACCTATGACCAGCAGTTGGACGAATAATGGGCCTATGATGATTCAAATGAAACGAGTTGGGCTATTTATTTCATAAGCGTAATCAACATTCAGTCAATAGTCGATGGATATTTATCGACTGTAATCACTAGCTGCTTGAAATGTCATTTTACTCCATCTTCAAAAAAGACAGACTATCATCTACAATATTTCATATCATTTACGACATTTATTTTAATATATTATATTAAAATAAATGTTGTAAATGATAAATGTGAACTAATGTATATTTATATAGAGCAATCCTTTAAGTTGCTTACTCATTCGTGTCATGGTAATCTGCCTTACGAATGAGTTGTAGAGTTTAATCACTATGTGAAATTTGCTTACCTATAAAATAAGTCTATTTTGAATTGTTTTATATGTAAAACCGCTTGCTTCTATTTGTTGAACGGATTTGTTCCATCATTTACAGGAGTCCATCCCCGAAACGAAGGCATCGTTCAAGGTCCAGGTCACCGAAGCGGCGTCGGAGGTCAAGGTCGAGGTCGCGCTCGCCTCGAAGGAGACGTGACAGGGATAGAGATCGTGACAGGTGCGTCCTTGGCATATTTTCGGTGTCGAACAAATGATATAGAGCCCTATGTCTGTTTGTATTGATATTATTTAAAAATGATGCGAGGTTTGTACAAAACGTAGCGAAATTCTGTAGAAAGTACCAATGTTTGTTTGGTGGTCAAGTTTATACAGTGAAAGTAGATGGAAACTTGAGGAGAGGTAGACCTCGATGTACTTATCTCGATTTTGTGTGATGTCCTTAAAAAAAGGCCAGGTTAAAACGACCAAGTATTAACGGATATGACTGACGCGAATGGAGAAGGAGAGAGAGAAGTGTCATAGCCATGCCGAAAGCTTCGCTTTAAAAAAAGGTTTTTGTTTTTGTCGCATTTTTTTCCATAATAAATTAATAACTACTTTATTTACCTTTCCAGAGACAGAGATAGAGAACGTGAAAAAGAAAAAGATAAAAGCTATAAAGAAAGAGAAGCAGAGAGGGAGAAACAGAAGGAGAGGGAAAAGAAGGGATTGCCCCCTATCAAGAAGGATAATCTAAGTGGTAAGTGTTAATACATGTCATCAATACGCATATTAAAAAAGTATTCGAATTGCTTTAGCAGTTAACATAGAAGTTGCTGGTTGGTCGCCATTTTCCATACTCTGAAATTACTTTGAAGATGTTGTGGTTTATTACTACATATAAAGAGAAATTCAATGAAATATTAACCTGTTCACCACCTCTGACAAAAACCAGTTTCATTCCCTAGACTCCAAGCCTGTATAAATAGTGATATGACATGTTATGAATCCCACCTTATCTCCTAACAAGAACATAACTGAACATAAAATGCAGATACAGATCCATACTTAACTAGAACATACAAATAACACAAGGAATAACTTAATATTTATTCATTAATTTCCATTTCTTTATAATGTCAAGTGACGGGACGAACAAGTCGTGCGCCTGGTAGTAAGCTACATGCCTGTCCATAACAGTTGCAGTGCCACTCAGAGCTTTAAATCGCAAAGATCTGAGAGGCACTGTCATTGCGCCCGTCACCCTGAGACAAGTTCCATGTACCTGTAATTTCACCACCACCCTTACTCTTAAAAACCGGAAAACAGTAATGCTGACATTATTGCTTGGCGGCAGAAATAGGTAAGGTAGGTCAATTGAAAATCAAAGGGTTTCATTGACGGTTTAAGCAACAACAAACAGTCATTACAGTCAAGACCCCTAGTTTTGTGAGCCCTCACATTGAATAAAATAATGAAATGATCTTCCAGTGTGCAGTACCACATTGTGGGTGGGCCACCTATCCAAGCTGGCCACTCAGGAGGAGCTGTCGGACCTGTTCGGGTCCATCGGCGGCGTGGTGTCCATCGACGTGGTGGGTCCACGCGGCTGTGCCTTCGTCGTCATGGAGAGGCGCAGGGACGCCTACAAGGCCCTGCACAAACTGAACAAGCACAAGTTGCACTCCAAGGAGATAACTGTTAGTATAGCAACAAATCAATTTAGGAACTCATTAGTATAATAACTAATTAGTATAACAACAGATCAGTATATCCACTAAGCAGCATAGTATAGGTTAGTATAACTACAAATCAGTGTAATAACACATTAGTATAACGAAAAATCAGTATAACAAAGCACCCGAAATTGTTTAGTTTGATTCATTGCTTTCTTTACCACCGCATCATAGCTACGTTTGCGATTGTAATAATTTTAAATCCTAAATGAGTGAAACATAATACTTTGGAACCTAGTAGACTGAAATAAAGAGAAAAATTACATTTGCGACGAACAACCAATACACAAAAAAGATTAATAGCTTGTTTACATCTCACCGTAGCTCTTGAGGCATTTATTACAGGGACATATTTAGATGTTCCCTTACGAGAACGTATTTCTACTTATAGCAATTATTGCATCTATTAATCTATATTATGTATTACTTTGTTTCTGAAATATTGCAATGTTAGTAATGTATTTTGAGAATAGCAATTAACTGATCGTTTGTCTTGTAGGTGGCGTGGGCACCCGGCAAAGGCGTGAAAGGCCGCGAATGGAAGGACTTCTGGGAGGCGGACCTCGGCGTGTCGTACCTGCCCTGGGCCTCGCTGCACCAGCGCTGGCAGCTGGGGGCACTGTCTCTCGATGCCTTGGAGGAAGGAGGGTCCGTCGACGAGGAGACGCTGCCGCCATGGCTGCCACCCAGGGTAAGCCAACTTGTAACGGCTGTAGTATAATCAGTATTATTAATACTAAGAAAAATTCCTTCGATCTGACAGGACTCAAACTAGGGCCACCGCTCTACCAACTGAAATGCAGATTGAGTTAACAGACCTTACTAATTTTTGTAAATATTTAATAATAATAATAATTCATTTATTTCAAGTCACTTGGACCCATAGTGTTAGTTACAATGTCACTTAAAAATTAATGTTGGTAATAATAACATTGGACTCAATAACAATTTTAAATACAGTTAAATTATTATAGAAACAAATTTCACAAATTTAATTATTACAGAATTACATTAACACCAAACAAGTATAAATTATTACAGAATGAAATTTTGCTAATTAACTTGTTAGGGATGGAATTAAATTAAATATAACATTTTAAATATTACACAATTCCTAAGAGTACCTTCATCCAATGCGTCCGGATAGGACAATTAAATCTAGAGGCAATCATCTTCAGGACACCATTTTCACTGTGCCGCAGGCTATGCATCAGCGATGTCGTTTTTTTGCGGATTATTGGTTACGAATCTTGTGGGTATTTTTTACAGCTTTTATTTTTTTTAGACACACTCAACCCCGCAGTAGGGAAACCCAATTAAGATAACTGCGGCTGTAGGTTCGAAAAAAAAACCAAAAACTTGTACGTCTAGTTTAATTTAAAAGAAATACAATTACAAAATTAATAGCTAGAGATAGGTGACAATCGTTCCACGTTTGAAACAAAAGTGTCCGACTTAAAAAACCAAGCGCCTCGTGGTCGGTGCATTTGCTATCTTCCTTCTGTAGAAGTGTGGAGTTGGCGGCTTCCTTTGTATTGCAATATGTAACTACCCTGTGTCGCGGGTGCTATGGATACACACATAAACACATGAAACCCAAACTCAACGAGAGAAATACATGTAGACCATACAAATATTTCTCCCGGCCCGGGAAGCGAACCCGGGACCTTTGCGTGGCAGATCAGCATGGTAACCGTTCAACCACAGAAGCTTTTTAGGAAGTTTTTTTTAGAGGAGTTATTAATACGAACAAGTGGAGTAATTTCATAAAAAAAATGCATATAATGGTGTAAAACGTAACATTCAATGAAATCAATAGTATAATTCGCACATGAAACCGAATCTGTCGTAACACAAAATTGTAGAATTGTGTACACACGATTTGAATCTTAATAAATTCGGTTTTTTTAAATTGTAATAAAAACATAAATATAACTGTCATATAACCATATGTTAATTGTCATTATACGTTACAGAAACGTGTAAATAACACGTTTATTCGGTGGGGCCATCGAATTACAATTCGCACATACATAAATAAATATAATAATAAATACTAGACAACATCACATATGTTGTTCTGATACCCAAGTGAGTAGCTAAAACACTTGTTATGAAAATCGGAAACAATGACGATACCACAAACACCCAGATCCGAGATATAGAACAGTTTTCTACACTGTCTCGGCCGGGGATCGAACCCGGTACCTCAGAGGCACTCGACCACGACAACCAAGGCACTTGACCACGGAGTCCGTCACAAAGATTGAATAGCACAAAGAAAAGCTCCTGCGATCCGACAAGACAAGAACCAGCGACTTTTTCGCCAAACCGGGACTATAACGTAATATTGTCTAACATAACTTTTAATATAGTGAATTAAAATCTGCTTTCAGTTAAAGTGGAAAGAACCAATGTAAACCTAAAGTATTAATTACTTGTTCACAGATACTACCGAAACTGGACAGCATGCCGATGATGCCGCCGGGCATGCCTGCCCCGGGTTTTCCCCCCAACCTCCCCCCAGGGGCTGTGCCGAATCTACCCTTGCCCACCGGGGCTATGCCTCCGGGTAATATGCCAGGTAATTTGACTGTCTGCATTAGTAACTGCACAACTAGTAATGTGAAGTGTGATTTTGTAATAGGCACTGTATCGGGAAATCCGAAACCAGAGGTGGCTTAGGGAAACTGTCTTAGGAATCATTAGGTCTTTTATGTAAAACAAATTGTACATAGTACAATTTTTTTGGTCAAGCAAAAGAGCATCAAATACCCATAGAGTGATCTAACCTTGCAATAGCAGCAAATGGTACAGGAAATGTGACGTTGCAGGAGCCAGCATGCCGCCCGCGAGCCTCCCCAGCAGCATGCCGGGGCTGGGCGGCGCGCTGCTGCCGACGGCGCCCCCCACCGGCCTGCCGCTGCCGGTACCGAGAATGCCTCCACCTGGGTAACTTTTCCCTTATATGCCCACACAACGACTGTCCAAAGCTCGTTCTAAATTGTGCCTTAAATTATAAGCACGGTAACCAAATCTACAGCTTAAAAAGCTTTAATCTTTGCGGTTTGCTTAAATTGTAACGGTGGGAGATAAAGTAAAAAAAAAACAATAAAATTTTGACATGACTTTAAAGCAGAGTTCGAAGTGATAATTGTCATTGATAGTTATCATGATAATTATCCTGATAAATATACCTTGATATTTATAAAATTAATTGGAACAATACAATGCTACCACTAGCATGCCATGCAAAGACATATCAGGGGGCCCACTCACATTATCCGTTCGACATCAGTCCGAAACAATTGCTGCCAAATAAGTATTACTCAACCAAATGAAAACACAATGTTAAGTATGAAGCTTCAAAACTTCACAAAATCGTTCATAGTATTAAGCATTGTGTAAACGAACATAACATAATATAACATTTCGCACTTTTAGTATTAAATGCCCTAAACTTAAACAATGTTTGTTTGATCAAAAACTATTAAGCAATTTTGAAACAATATAATACTAAACGGCTTTTCCATAAATCCTTGTTGGAAGTTTGGGTTTGCAAAACCAGGGGAAAGTTTCAACAATAACACTTATTTTTGTACTCTAGCCCTTTAAGACACAAATTCGATGTGACTCGTTTTATGTTTCGGAAGTATATATAGCAACAACTTACTGAGTTGTAAAGTGTCAAAAAACATAATGTAATTTTATTTATAATTTTTTGTAATTAAGGCGAATTTTTAAACATCATCGTGTCTTTTACAGTATGCCAGCGGGTATGCCACCCGGTATGGCACCAGGTATGCCGCCGGGTATAAGACCACCGAGCATACCTACAGGTGTTCCAGGTGAATTTCCTTATTCTTACGTAATAGTTAATATAAAATTTATTTTCTTGGCGATAAGAAAAAATGTAATGTATGTTGTTCCTATTGTCCTTTCCACAACAGGCACTATCCCACACCTTCTTCATCACGGAAGAAAAAAAGAAATGGAAGGGCTTCTAGTCTCAATTACTATCAGAACCTCTGTCGCCAAAACTCCCACTATCATAATGTTAAACACTATGAAGTCTTGATAATGAATGGTCGTAGTTTCCAATTTATGCTGTTAGTAATGTAGTCCTACAAATAATCCTGTATAAGTTAACAGTTCAATTTTCCGAATTTCTAATTAAATTAATAACCAAGTTTCTTAAACATTCTTCTCAGGGGATTATTTGTGAAAACTGTGTGTATAACAACTAAAGGTATAACATTTTGCAGGTCTTCAAGGCGACGCGGGTTTACCACCAGCACCATTGTTGGGCTTCCCACCTGGCATGCCGCCGCAGTCGCTCACTCAACCTGGTAAGTTTTTTTTAATGTAAAGTAGAAGGTAATCCAGCAGTCACAGACAAACCTCCAAGGACATCTGCAACATCAGACGAGCTGCCATTGCGTTGCCAGTCTTTGAAACCATTGTTAAGAGTCCATACAACCTATAATGGCTTTGGTTGATTCCCGCATAACTGTGAATGTTGAATCAATCACTAGAAAAAATATATAGTAAAATAGAGGTTATATACAAATTTTCACATCACAAAAGAAAACACAGACTTATCTCGAAATTTTACAAGATGCTGTATTATACATTTTTTTATAACAACTGAACTAAATAGAACAAATATACCATAAGATATATATTTTTCAAAAGGCGTTTCTTTGAAAAAAAAATATACCCGCGCAATAGACAGACAGACAGGAAAAAGTTTAGTTCGAGGTGAGGTAGTATCAACTCTTAATCAGCTTTTTCAAGAAGCCCAGGTCATGGCGCAAAGGAACTACTTATTATAACAATTAATTATCTTTATACGACTACGACGAAGTTGAAATGAGGGTTTTAATTATGATTTTAGCTGCGCGTGTGTGTATTGAGCGCTACAAGTTTAATACTTAACATTTTATTTAATTAAACAACTGGTAAATATCAAATTGTTTGGCGTTATTTTTGTTTTGATATAGTTTCAATATTATATATAATTGGTTTGCTATTGTTAAAAATTGGTTTTATTTTACCACTAAAAATAAGATATTTGGTCTCAATGTTACAATTAAATATATTACAGATTAGGTCTGCTGTTATTGTTGTTTATTTAGTAGGGATATATTTAAAAAAGTGAAATAAAAAATTTGAGTTTAATCGAGTATCAATTTTCATAAGATGGATGATTAAGTGCAAACTGTTTCAGACAGGTTTGGTCGTCGTATATTGATTTTGAACGACTAGACTAATGAAGAAATTAAAACGTCGAGAAGAGTATGTCGCTCATTTTAATTTTAAATATTGAAAGAATATGTTTAATTTTTTCTGGAATTATTTCAATGGGGATGGCCTGATAACGCCTTTGACAGTGAATATCTTTAGATCGACGTGTTAAGAATCTGTATTACCTCAATTTGAATTCAAAAATTTCCCATACTATATGGGTCATTTTGCTTGGATCGAGCGACAGGGACACTGGTTTTATTTCAGAATCAATTTTTTTTTACAAAAGAAATTAAAGCCATTCGAAAAATGTAAATGTAAATAAAAATAAATTTTTTTCGAAGTTATTTTGTGTTTTATTTTTATCGTGAAAATTTTTAGGAACCGTGTTTTCACACCGTACAGTAATCACTAATCAGTGTATATCCTCAATTATACTACATATTTTTTCCGAAATCATTGATTCGACACTTATACGGCACGCATAATAATACGGAATCCTGCAAAGCCATTTGAGGTAGTATAGACTTTTAAACTCTTATAAGATTCTTGCAATCGCGGGGAGGGCTTAAGACGTGAGAATGCATGCAGGCATGGTGGGCGGGTTCCTGGGCGGGCTGCTGGGCGCGCACGGGCTGGTGGCGGGCGTGCCGCTGCCGCTGGCGCACGCGCACCCGCACGCGCACGCGCACGCGCTGGCGCACCACGCGCCCGCGCCGCCCAAGCGCGCGCCCGCGCCGCCGCCGCGCGCCGACGACGACGCCATGGACCTGGACCCGGAGGACGCGCACGACGACGCCGACGCGTCCAAGCCCCCCGCGCCCCCCGCGCACCCCGCCCCGCCGCAGGACACCTCCGCGCCGCCGCCGCTGCTCTCCGACCAGCTGCAGGCGCTGCTGTCCAAACCGCCCCCCAGCTTCAACTCTTCCGAACCTCCGCCGGGTGAGGACCGACAAAGTTTTCACTGAACACCTAACCTTCAAATCGAGTCTAAATAGTGACTTTCGTAAACGTGTCTTTGAACAAATTTACTGGAAACTCGAATTGCTTTTAAATTAATTTTAATTAATACTCGTAACATCTCTTACTTCTTTCATGAAAACGTGACAACCTTTAATGAAAAATAATTATTAAATACCACTGAAGAACACTGAATGTCAAATTATAAATTAAGCTATGAAAGTAATTTTTGTACGTCAAAAGTACACGTTACTTGCATTTGGAACAAGGAGACGCTATGTCGCCCAGGTTCAGTAATTGTCGCGGTTACTTACATGCGTGATAGAGGAGCGGAAAGTTGCCCTCGAAGGCGCCGAAGAAACAATAATTTTTTTTTATTAAATAAATATTAAATATTCTGCAATATAAATACTTTATCTAATAGATAACACACGTGGGTCGCTGATACTTGAACGCGAAATATAGCTCAATCCTTGTACCATCTGTCATATTTTTATGCGTGCTTGGCTGTCGGTTATTCATAACCTTATGGGATATTTTTTTTAACACACTCACTCATAGCTCCATACTAAGGAAACCCTGTACCGCGGGTACTATGGACACACACATAGCCACAAATCCCGGGAATCGAACCCGAAATCTCTGCGTGGCAGTCCAACGTGGTAACTGTTTGGCCACGGAGGCAAGAATCGTGAAAAAAACACCGTAACAGCAGAAATTAATAAGCAGAGCTAATGTTGTACATCCTGTACCGATTTACCGAAAAAAAAATTAAGTAAATTCTACCTCTATTAAGAGAAAGAGGTTGTCGTGATCTGAGAAACCTCATAGTCGCTTTTTCTAAGCTCATACTTAGCTTTACTTGTACTGTTTTTTTTTTTAAATACATTTCCAATACAGGTTTCAACATAAACGAGCCGCCGCCTTTCAATGCAAGTCAGCCCCCACCCATTGGAGAAGAGAAGCAAGACGACGAGCGTAAGAACGACAGGGACAGAGATAGACGCGACCGCGACAGGAGGGACAGAGATAGAGATAGGAGGGACAGAGGCGATAGAGATAGAAGAGATCGTGATCGTGGGAGGGAGAGAGATCGGTAAGTACATGATTACTTTTGTGGTTACAGGTGTACTGCCTATTCCCACCTATACGTAGCAATCACGATCGGGAATCGAACTTGACTTGAACACGATAGTACAAAGGGTACGTGTATTGAAGAGAAAGGAAAGATTTGCACTTTGTACATGCTCAAAAAAGTGGGGAAACAGAGTTGTTGCCATTTTGTTGGTATATTATAATATAAACTATAGTTAGTTTCATTTCAAATTTTAAGCAAAAAGGAAACAATCAAGTCACTGACCCGAGGATAGACGGTTTAGTGATGGCAAATTTAATGCCAACTACAAACCAATTAATTAATTGAATTAATCGATTTGTTTAATTGGGTCATACTAGCGGTTTCCATTACATAACATATAAAAGCATATTTAAAATTTCCGTAATTTTGATTTTAAATCCTCCTTCAAATCCTTGCACTTAAATACTCGTTCGATTGCGATTGAAATTTTCGATTTACTAGTTCTTCCTCTTTCAAATGTTATGGTCCCATCGAAGTAATCGATGATTTCGCCAATGTCAAGTTGAGGAACGAACGCGTTTTTACTCAAAAATTGACCGGTGAATAAATCGATGAATGAACTGAATGTTTTTTCCGTACAGCACTATGCAACCAAGACTATTCATACATCTTTAATTAAAAAATAACCTCACTTTTTGACTACCATTTTTCAAATATGATTTAACGATGTTATTCAAATGAATATTCTTAGAAAGAAAGTGATGAGATATCTAGTAAAAATCTTCAAAATATACGTGAAAGTGTTATTTGATTTATTAAGTGATTAATTTAGAAATTCAACCAAACCTTTTTGTTTAAATTTCGTTTAAAATGGCTTGGAACAGGCTACATATTCTAAAAAACTACCTTCTTGGTTCTAATAGTCTCAATGCAGATATTGAGGGACGACAAAAGAAAGTTACTTTATTGATATACATATAAGCGGAGAGAAAGACACTGAACTAAGTTGAGAACATTCATAAATCTACACATTGCACTATGACTAGGAAACCATAGAGGTATTTCGTATATGTCGCGTATAAAACTCCCAGCACCTCTCGCCTGTTTGCTGGGACCTCCAGCCTCCTCTTTTGTCCAACCTCGAAAGTAATAAAATTGAGCTTGTGATGTTTGTGCCGATGACTGTGGCGGCAAGACATGACTCGCCACGCATGTGCTATTTTACCCAAGTGCTGATCAGCAGGAATTAACTTTTCCTGTTGTTCAGGCACTAATATATTTAGACGTAAGTACACTAACATAGATAAAGAATTCTCTTGTTCCTAGCCCTCTATTGCTGTGCCCTTACAGGGTATCATATAATAAAGACCTATTTGCTATTTAAGATCTTTGTAAACTTTATATGGAGCAATAAATTGAATTGTACCGGTTTGGACGACTGTAGTCAGATTTTTGAATAAATTAAATTAAAAAACTAAATAGTAATGGCGGCGAAAGTGTAAATGTCAGGTAATATCTACCTGGTAGATACCAACGATAGGCTAGGCACCCACAGTCATAAGTGTCAATGAGGCTAGTGTACTGACGAGTCAACATATGGCAAATGTGTATTATGTATTACAACAGTAATGTTACTTTTGTGTCTTTCAACTGTCTATTCATGTCGTAATCTTAAAAAGTACGTAGGACTTGCCAGTTGTTTGTTTCTTAGTGTACACACTACTACTTGGTACTTGGTGCAACGGGCTAGTTTCCGGTGTACACACTGCACTCACGTAGCCATGTTTGGTTTTAACTATTTGATCTGAAGTGCACTCCATTACCGCCATAGTACTGGACGTTACTGCCGTCACAATAGTTCAATGTGTGGCTCAAAATTTAAGAAAAATTCACGGTCTAATTACATAAGGATTAATATGAAATACGTTTACGAATTTCCGCACTCCATGTAATAAATTTGAATAATATGTCGACGATTGGCGACGCCACTCTATGCAAGCGAAACGCTCAACAAATCAAGTTCAAAACAACAAAATCACAGTAATATTTAAGTTTTTATGAAATGTAACGATGTTTTACTATCATCATAATTATTAAAAATTTTTTTGTGAAATTTCCCTCATTTGTTATAATTATTACATAGGGCGCACTATAAGTTTCCGGAACTGACCACTTACATAAACAATATTTAAAAAGCAATTACAACATTTGAAAATAGAACTCTTTGGCTGTAGAATACAGTTTGCTTGATCTGAATGTCACTTGTTTTTACATTATGGCGTCATTTTAGAAATTGGTTGTCTACATCACCATGGATTTAACTCGTGAAAATTTTCGTAGTATGATTTTCTACGACTTTAATTGTAATGTAACAGCTCAGCGGAGCTTGTAACAGTTCGGCATATGTAGCAGCTCGGCTTCAAACGCTTTTGGCGATGAAGCACCATGCAATACGACCATTTATAGCTGGTTTGCAGAATTCTAATGCGGTCGTTTGAATCTCAGTGACGAATTTCGTGATGGTCGCACCTCCACTGCTGCGAACAACAAAAACATCGACGCTGTGCGCCGTATCACAGTGGTTCAGCTCTCTAAGAAGGGCGGTCATAGGGCTTTCGCGCAGCTAAATGTTATTGAAATGCATGTTAATGCATATAATTATGCTATATAATGATGAATTGAGGTACATAGAAATAAAATAAGTGGATTTTGATAAAATAATAACAATATATTTAGTAAAAAAAATGTTCATTTCAAAAAATAAATTTTCATGAACAACGATTAAATTGCAACAGCTAGTAATCTCAATTACATTAATATAATAAGAAGAACAATAATGTTAAATATTAAATAGACATCTAATTAACCTATAATTACAAATATAATATAAAGGTATGTACACATTAAAATAGATTATCGCTAAAAAATATCTAAAGTAATTAGTTCTACCTTAATTCTAAACATTACAACTTATACTTAAACACATAATAACATTAACACGTCTTTTGATAGAACAGACTTCTTCTTTTGTGGCAATTTCCGTAAACTGGAAATATATGGATCAGAATTAAGAAGAAGTCTGTGCATGAGGTCGGTGTTAGTGTCAACTCGAGACGTTTTTCTCGTGTTGTCACGCCTAAATTGTTTATATAATTTATTACACGATTCAGCGGCCTCTTCGGAGAGCTCACCGATAGATATTAAGCAATGATCAATAACTTCCGATCCATGAATTAGTACTTTATGAATAGAAGAAGGCAAGTTATACCGTGGATATGTTGAAACAAGTTTGCGCGCAGTCTCTAAGGCATAATCTTTAAAAGCTAGTTTATTGATTTTGTAACCCGACGAAAGACACTGCAGCAGGTGATAACATCTATCGAGAAGAGTTTTGTCTAAGCCAGTTATTTCTGCTGATATAACTGAATTAGAAAAAAATGTTCTTGCAGTGTTTCCGTCGTTTGATGTGCCACTTCCTCCACTTCGCGGTTTGTCAACAATCAGACCTAATCTTTTCCTGAACTGCTGCTGTAGAAATTGTTTGCAAGAAGAGCTTTACTTTCAGCTGAACGCGCTTGCCATGTTTTAAAATCTAATCTATATGAAATGCGAATGAAATATTCGAAAAATCTAATCCACGAATGGAGGGGAGATAAGCCAAATTCATATTTACTACTGTCTACTGATTTGCTTAGACATTTGTCAATATCGTTCATCTCTTTTGGTGTCGCGCTACAAATATAGCACATACTACAGGACAAGTCACTAAGAGCACCACATACTTTACCATCAACCATAGTCAACTGTAAAGAATGCTGTATCTTAATTTCACAGCCCTTGAATGTAAAAGAAGACGGTTGTAAATTATCAATTTTATTTTTGAAATAAGATTCTTCTTTCACAGAAAGTTCCTTTGTCTCCTTAGCAAATTGGAACCGAATAGGTCTACAGTACCGAGTAGAAGAAGGGCGCGGATTTTTCCAGACAATTTGGTCTGGATCGGAAGTATTTGATTTACAAATTAATTGCAGCGGACAATATGACGTTACAAATAAACTACCATCATCATCCTCGATACTAGAATCTGAAAATTTCTGTTTATATTCACTATGCCCCGTACTACCATCAAATCCCCACTTACCAACTAAAACAAATTCTTTACTGATATCAACATTACTTAGGACGTCACTTTGAGATTCTAGTATACGAGTTGTAGTATGATCTAACAAAGACTGTAACTCTATTTCGGCAGATGATTCTGTGACAATTTCATCCGAAGGATAACACCTCTTCTTAGCTTCCAACACTTTATGGTATGATGGTAATGCATTCTGTGATTTTGAATTTATGAACCGTCGTAATAACAAATACTGATGCTTGGTCAATTTAGCTTCAGTTATTAAAGATAATACTTCGTCAGTGTTGAATTCCATAGAAGAGGTGTTAGAACGGTTGGAATCGTTCAGTAACGAATTTATCGCGGAATTATCTACCTTTGCCAACTCTGCTATCCTGCGTCGCTTCGACCTCTCGCTGCAGTCTTCGAAGTCCTTCCGATACTGATGGCCACTCGTAGACGGACGATCACTAACCGCCGCCGCCGGTTGCTGGATATTAGGGTGAGAAGCTGCAGAAGTTAGGCGGCAAACTTCGTTTATGTGCAGCCAGTCACCGTATTTAGCAACCATACGGGAATGTGATCGCCTGACTTGCTTCCAATATGTGCAAATTTTTTTACAGAGATACGAAATCCTGTTTTCCAACTCATCTATCCGGAAATTTTCAACATCGGGCAGTAGTTGTGTCAGAGAATAAAGAACTCGATTAGATCGGTCTGCGTCAGAATCACTATCTTTAATAGATATCCACGTATCAAATACAAGCGTTCTAGTGAAAGAACACTTAATATTCGCACCTAAAACAAAAAAAAGGAATTTGAGAAAATTAAAGCATAATAGAAATTTCGTAACAATTGCTACGTGTTTGAACGTACGGCGTAGACCCTCTGTACTGTTCAAGAAAGCAGCTAGAAGCAGCCAAATTCAGTTTAATTTCAAAATAGAGACATTAACAAACATTTTGATATATATACCCCCGCATGACTTATAAGTCATGCGGGGATTTTGGGGGGAAAGTAGTTAAAAGTTTCATTGAACATGAACAATAGAGAAAAAAGAAGTTGAAAATTTCTCTGGCGTAGCATCAAATTTTTAATATTAATTTTCAATTTAAAAATAAAAATAATATACAAAATACGTAAGACATACCTTCAACTTGAATCTCCATAGCAAAAAAATTGGTCACTAACAATTGATTCTCGGAAAAAACGGCGTCAGGCGGTTCGGGTAATTTGCACGTGGTAATTACACTAAAACGACTAATTTAATGCGTTCACTTCCGATGCACAAAAGTAAATGTGACATCTACCTGATTGAAATTCTTTTTATACCCTTTAGTAGTACGACTAGTTGTGAGTAATTAGGCTACGTATCATAGCATAATTCATACCTCGGGATTTTGGGCGTATGACCTACTACTGAACCACCGTGCGTATGATCAAAACAGACAAGCATGTGACATACCACGAGATTCGGGCATCTTCAGGCATAGCATGAGTGAAATACAATCAATACTACACAAACATTTGGGTGTGAAAAAGCTGTGTTCTCGGTGGATCCCACACAATTTGACTGAGGCTCAAAAAACGGATCGCGTCACTTGGTGCAATGCCATGCTTACCAGATTCATCGAAGGGGCTTCAAATTTGGTGTGGGACATAGTAATAGGTGACGAAACATGGATTTATAGTTACAATCTCAAAACAAAGCAGCAATCGAGCGTATGGGTCTTTCGAGATGAGCCGAAACCAACCAAAGTGGCGCGCGTGCAAAGTGCCTCTAAGCGGATGAATGCTTCTTTTTTTAATAAAACTGGATACGTGGCTACTGTTGCTTTAGAGAATCGTTGTACCGTGAATAGTTATCGGTACACGACCATTTGTTTGCCGGAAGTTATTGACAAACTCCGTAAAAATAACCGTAAACGCCGTCATCTTGCACCACGATAATGCCAGTTCTCACACGGCCAGACAGACAAATGAATTTTTGAATGTGAACAACGTTGACCTTACGAGCTATCCCGCGTACAGTCCCAACCTGGCACCTCGTGACTTTTATTTTTTTCCAAAAATTAAGAACCAGTTACGCGGTCAACGATTTTCATCACCTGAAAAGGCTGTCGAAGTGTATGAAAAATATGTTTCAGAGATGGTCACGGAGGAGTGGCATAAATGTTTTCAAAATTGGTTCATTCGTATGAAAAAGTGGATTAACGCTAGCGGAGAAGATTTTGAGAAACAATAAATTAATTTCTGACCATTTATAGTATTTTTTCTTATTCATTCCGGAAACTTATAATGCACTTCACGTAAAAACAAAGATTTGGAAAAATCCTTTGATATGGCCGGATTTAAACCGATGTCTTCTAGCAAACCATAACTTCTTGAAAATTACAATTATTATTTATTTAAGGTCGAGTGTCTTGCACACCGGTTTTCATGGTGTCGCCACCTCTGAGGTTCCGGGTACGATCCCCGGCCGGGTTGGTGTAGAAAATTAACTTTTCTATATTGTCTTGGGTCTGGGTGTTTGTGGTATCGTCGTTGTTTCTGATTTCCATAACACAAGTGTTTTAGCTACTTACTCTACGTTCAGAGCAACATATGTGATGTTGTCTAAATATTAGGGGACATTTTATAGCTCTGTAGAAACATCTGAGCAAAAACGATAATTAAAATACGACTTAGCAGTCAACATTCGTAACAAACGACAGTAATTAAGTGTCAAACTTCACTGACGTCTTAAAATAGCGAAATATTATTTGATTCTAAACCGCAGCTCTTCTCCGAGAAAATATGAGATCAATTCAAAATTTAGGGACACAAGGAAAGTCTCTTTGCTTTTGTGCTGCTGTGTGGAAGCACAATCATCAGCTGTAAGAATTGTCGGACTTTTGTGACAGCCTGTATATTTAGATGCATATTTTATTTAATTGGCACTGTAGTATAATGGGTAACCTATTTGACAGGGACAGGGAGGACCGAAGAGACCGCGACAGAGACCGTGGTGGCCGCGATAGAAGGGACCGAGATCGAGATCGCGACCGGGAGCGGTTTTCGTCTAGAGATAATAACAGGTTAGTTTGGTTTTAATTTTTAAAGCCTGTAATCAACACCAACACATATCGCCTCCTTTAGCTAGAATGGACTTGAAACTTGAAATTCTGACGAAAAAAAATGTATCGAGTTCTTAGGTTTTCGCGATTGTTACACATAGGAAATGAAACTATTTTTCCGGATTTAATTCGCGTATATTTGTTTTTTCAAACAAACCGACGTTTCGAGCCCTTTACGGGTCCCATGGTCACGGTTGACTGAGGTGGTACAGTCTTCAACCAGTTATGTCTAATATTAATGCAAACCACCCTATTTTTTCACTATAGTTACAATAGTTATTAATTAAATACCTTATTTTTAATTTTACAAAGAAAACATTCCAATTTACGCTACATTAAGTTTTACAAATTATTTTATCAAATGAATTTTTATTAAGTTCAATTTATTATTAATTATTAATATATATTGTCTTTGTTTAACTACTGCGTGCCGTCGTAAGCCAAAAGAGAGAGCACTACATTGATTTATGTCAAACACGGGAATCGAAAATACTTAACATCATCTTAAATGCCAACTGTCCTCATTTTACCATTTTTGGAGTACCCTTTGATAACCGTTTCCGGTTGTCTAAGGGAAGTACATCAAATGTCAAAACCAATTTTGGCCAAATGTTTTATTGAATTATTCGCATGAATTGTAATGAAATGGACAAAAATATTGACAGTGAGAACAATTAAGTATTGATTAAAATGCGTCGATGCGGCATTAAGGGGTGCAGCAGTAGAAAAGGCGGAAATCTACCTTATGTTACGTTACACTGTGTGTTATTTTTTTGTCTATAAATCATACAATAGCCAAAATATCTCATGTAATAGACTCATTTAAGTAGTTTATTCATAAGTCTTGTCGAATTTTGCTTTGTTTACTTTAGATTTCCTGTTTGTTAGTATGTTTTGATGATTGTTGATAACGATTATTTTGAGATGGTGTTGTTCTTGTAAGCAGACATATTATCGACATTCTGTTATTAAAACAATTCGCTACGAGGTTTTTATTATTTCATTATTATTATTTTTAAAGTTTACCTACAAATGAAAAAAGAAAGAAAGAATGATTGGAAATTATAGGACTGCCGAACATAAACATTGAATCAAATACCATCTTCGTTTGTTCACTCATTTTTGAAGAGTCAAATTTTAATAGAACTTTGAATGCAATTAGATCATGTAGATAATGCAATTCCATCGTTACATTTATCGGTAAATAACTTCATATTTAATTTTGATTAAAATGACTCATTGCTTGCCTAGTAATAATAGCCTAGTCTTAATCATACTTTGATTACAAACTTAATAATAAACTAAACTTCTATTTGAACAGAGAACGCAGTCGCGAGAAATCACCCCGCAATGCAGCTCCAGAACAAAACCCCGAGAAGTCCCTGCAAGAACGCCTATGGGAAATGGCGAATGGCAAACCGGCAGACAGGCTGGGGCAGGACAAGCCACAGGAGTTCCAGGAGAACGAGCGCCCCGACCGCGAAGATATGGGCCGAATGGACCGGCCGCCTCCTCTGTTGGATCGTATTCCGCCACTGCTGGATCACGGTAAATTTTTGTATTTTCTTATTTGGACACATTTATAGCACGAGGGCTATGAGAACATTTATGTGTAATTTAGACTTTTATCTTCCGCGTAAATTATTTAATATTTAGTTTCGTATTCGGTGATGGCGCCGCGCGCCGCCACTCGTAATTCGTACAATAAAACTGATCAAAATGGTTTGTATAAACATTGTTTAATTATAGGTTACGCGTCCCCTTGCCAAAGTCGTGAACTTTGCTTTTACAGAAGCTGAGAAAGGTCCAGAGAGCGAGAGCGGCTGGACACAGCTGCCGCCGCCGCGCCTCCCTCCCCCGCACTTGGCCGCACCCTTCCGTGCCGGTGAGTACAACTGTAATATATTAACTATCTATTGTTCACATCATTTATATTTTATTCCATCTGTATTTTATTGCACATACTTCAAGCTTTTCTTTCTGTACTTTAAACCACGATATTTTATAATCCACATATTCTTTTAAATATTTGTTCATCAAAATCGCGAAGTAAAGTTATTTCAATTTACAGAATTGAGAATGAGAGGGCCACCTAGGCAGCCAATGAGAGGTAATGTCCGCACCAAACTTGGCTCATCTCGATGTTGTATTTTATTTTGTAATTATGTACTAATTACAATATTACAGGGCCTTGGATGGACGGACCAGGACCTGGACCGGTGCCTTTCGGACCTCGCTTCAACGGAATGGGGCCTCCTTTCAATCGACCTCCCTTTGAACGACCACCGTTTGAAGGTGGTCCGCTTTTCGATGGCCCTCCAAGATTTGAGCGCCCACCATTCAATCGAATGCCGTTTGAGAACATGAACCGGCCGCCGTTTGACGGTCCCCGACCTCCATTCGATGGACCGAGACCTCCTTTCGAACCTCTGCAGCCTTTTGATGGCCCTAGACAACCTTTCGATGGTCCAAGACCGTTTGAAGGAGCACCATTCGACGGAGATCGCAATTTTGATGGCCCACGTTTCGACGGGCCACCCGAGTTCTTTGATAGAAACAATAGACGATTTGAAGACCGTGAACATTTTAATGACCGCGGCGGTTGGAACGGCGATAGGGATAGGGACAGGGGAGAATGGGAAAGAAGAAACGAATGGGATGACAGAAGAAGAGATCGAAGGTCCAGAGACCACGAGGATAGGTTCAGGGATAGAAACGATCGAAGAAGGAACTTCGATGAGAGACGACGTGATGATAGGAATCCTAATTCTAGAGACGATCGTAGCTTGAGTAGGGATGAGAGAAATACTCCCAAAGATGACAAGGGTCCAGCTAAAGATGACAAAAGCAATACTTCTAAAGACGATAAGACCAATACCGCTAAAGACGATAAGAGCAATACCTCTAAAGAAGAAAGAAACCCTAGGCGAGATAAGGACAGGAAGTCCAGGTGGGGTGCTGCTGAAGAAAGCACAAATGAAGAAGCCGACAAAGCTCTGGAGCAAACCGAAGTTAGTCAAGTCACTAACAATGAAAGTACGCAGCAAAAAAATAGTGAAGTTGGCTCTAGTCAAGTTGAACAAAATGTACAGAATTGTGGCACAAACAACGCCCAGGAGAGGTCAGAAGCACAAAGTGAGAGTAGAAGGGATATTCATCAGAATGAAGAAGAAAATGTCTGGGAAATCAATAAAGAACGCGAGCGCAATTATCGTGAAGAGAACAGCGCACCAAGTTACGATGGGAAAGATAATAGAGAAACTAAAGACAGTGACGAGCAAAACACTGAACCTGATAGCCGTGAAAGAGACTCTGCTGACTACAAAGCTCGACATTGTGACTCGGGTGATAACAATAGCCAAGACAGAAATGCTAATGATTATAATAATCAAGAGAAAGATGTAGCAAATTTTGACGATAACAAGGAAACAAATTTCGTTTATGACAGCCGGGAAACTACCATCGCCGATTGCGATAAACAAGAAAACAATGAAACTAGCTATGATAAAGAACAAAATGATCATTACCAAAGCCAAAGCAAAGTAAGTTACCCCGAGGAACGACAACCGATACAAACAAATGATACTGCACCAGCGTTATATGATGTTGACGATGCGGTCGACACTAGTTTTTCTACGCCCATAGAAAAAGAAATGCCTGCCCCTGTCATTGAAAATGAGCCTACATGGCCAGGGAGCGAAAGCGCAAAGGCAGATATTTTCATCCAGGATGAAAAAGAACCAGAACCACAAAGTACAGAAGCGCAAACCAGCGTCGAAAGCAAAGAAGGAATTGCTTGACACAGGCGAAGATGGAAAGTTGGATACTTCCAGTGGAAATGATTCGGGTGACGCGAGGAACCCCGACGAAGACGCGGTCACGGCGCGATACAGTTCCAGCTATGTTTCCGAACGCAGTGTTATTTTTATTGTAGACAATTTTAAGAACCGGTGATATTTTTAAATTTAAGATTGTTGCTGAAATGACTGCCAACACATTTGAAAGTAAACCGTGATGTTGTTTTTTAAGAAATTTCGAACACATAGCTTGAACTCGTTTAGCCGACAGCCGAAACCATATAACGCCAAAGATTTTCTTTTTTTATATTCACAAAGTTGAAATATACGAGTGCCTTATTGGTTACCGAAGTGGTGTTTTGTTTACCGCCGACTCGCGTCACCACGGGCAGAAGAGGAACTCGCCTGGGCGCTCAAGTCGAGTGACCCGGGCAAGGTACGGTTGCTAACAGATATCATACAACGCGCGTCTAGAACAATTGCTCATTTTTTCTATAATTTCTTAGACCAACATTTATAATTGTCTAAAGTTCTGTTAAATAATCACGTTAATTTTAACGCCATAGATCGCGTGTTGCAAAATTTTGAATCTAATTAGGTTCCGATTTTTATAATTCATTAACGTACCAATTGTACTCGGCGGGCGCTTTTTATCATTGTTTGGTCATGTCGAAATGGATTATCCTTGAAGTAGTTCAATATTAATAACGTGAGTAATTTAATTTCAATTTCAAAATATAAAGATGATTCCATTTCGACATCATTCTAATATCGCTAGCAATGTGTGCAAAATACCTCGGCGACGCCCGTGTCACCCGAATCAGCCTGGAACGTTCTGGAAGGATCGAGAGTAATCGGCATGAAGAGAAGATGTTCTACTCATATCTATGTAATTCTACGGAATTTTTCTTAGCGAATTATGCCATTTTCACTACACCCTTGTTAACGATTTTAGTTATCTTTAATGATAGTTAGGTTAGTTGTTAGTTACTTATATTTGTTTATGCGTTTCGACTGCATTAAAACTATGTTAGGTCGATATTTTAGCTTTCCAAATGGCTATCAATATTTCTGATATTAACCACACTTGTACAAAATTTTAATGATATTGAGAGTTAAAATTAGTTTAGTGAAAATATTTTGTCACTTTCTAGTATAACTATTCGCTTTGTACTTTTCTCTTTAAAATAAATTGGTGAAGGTAGAAATTGGATTTGAAAATGAATTAAATAATTAATATTTAAAGTTACATGGGTAGATACGTGATTTTATAAATTTATAGTGATATATATATTATATATATATTAAAGTATTTATCACCTTTTTAAAGTAGGATCAATGATTAAATGTTTTACGTTCTATAAACTCGACGTGTATCAACACGCGTCCATCATTTCATTGTTTATATGTAACATATTTTTATATTGCAGAGTAGTCAAAGGAATTCATTGATTTATCAAGTTGTTTCTGAGGTGAAAGGATCTTAGGTATATTAGATTTATTAATCGAGTAAGCAATTTATAATTTAAATTCATGCTTCAATGTTTGTCATATTTGTGCTTGAATAAAATTTATTAAAATCCAATAATATAATTTTATTTGAAAATTTAGGCGGGAGATTTTAGGTTACGACGTTCTGGCAAAGGGGTTGTGATGAGGTCCCTTTTGCACACATTGTCTGGATTTTGCCTTTTCTTATTTGCATTACAGCTTTTGCAGCAATTTTGAGCCTGTGGTCTTGAAAACTTACAGAAGCAAGAACGATTTGATTTTTTTGGCAACGTCATCGTAGATTTTATTGAAAATAAATTGTATATAAATTACGTTTTTAATCTGATTCAATGTTAATAGAAACTTAAGTGTGTGTTTTAATTTAGTTCCTAAGTTTTACATTTTCTAAATGTTAGCGGAGTCTGAGGTTTGTTCAAGTAACAACTTTCAAAGGAAAGTTTCAGATGAAACCTCAGATTCGGACATAGAAGTCTGTGAAAAAGAAAGTGTTTTTATGAAGAATTTTTTTTATTGATTTCCCAATGCAATCAAATGACTACGGTGCATACAGCTGACGGGAAGATTTATAAAATAAATAACGCAAGGGCGAAATCCAGAATATCCTCTATACCTTGCTAAAAAGTTGAAAAGAGGGTAAAAGTAGGACGAGTATAAGATGGTATGGATTCTCCACCATGTTGCGTAACCTTTCGCACGATGTACGAAGAAACCTTTCCACGATATCCCTGTCAAGTAAAGTCGATTTTACATAGCCTGGCTTAGAATTATGAAGCGTCTAAACCAAGTCGGGCGACGATCGCTTGCCCCGCCGAAGGCGGCAAGCTACCGGTGTAAACGCTGAGTCTTCTGACGATGGTAGTTTGCAGCCGAAGTCGGCCGAAACGACTGGGTGCGTTGTCACCTTTGGCAAGGCAAAGTAGTCCGCCGAAGGCGGCAGACGACTCGGTGTAAATGGCGAGTCGCCTACGGCCCGGTGGTGGTAGTCTGACGACCCGGTGTAAATGCGCCATTATAATCTTTTAGGGAGCCACCAAATAATCGAAAGAAAGATGATACGAAAATGGCTTGTGCCGATCAAAAAAGTTTTCACCCATCTAGACAATCACTTCTGTGTCGTCAGTGAATAAGCCACACTAATCCCAATCCCATAAATATTATTTTTTATATACGGTTACACCCAGTCCTCCGATCGGTAGAAGTAGCGGGAATTTTTTCCCATACTTCCGATATATCATTTGACGGTTCCAAAGTCATGATCGTAAATGAGTCCTTCCCACAGCATTCCCATGTTAATTAATAGTGCTTTTAAACTAGACGCTCTTAGGGTCATATTTCAGAGCTCTACTCAATGCTCAAGTTAGGATTTGAGCAGACTTGAGTTAATTTCAAGCACTGGAAATACGACCCTAAGGGCAAGGACTTACGTATGATTTTCAGTGCTCACTGCAATACTCAAGTTCTGACTTGAGTATTGAGTAGAGTTCTGGAGTATTATACCCTTTGAAGCGCTTCAGTGGCGCTGCAGTCGCACCACTACCTACTAATGTAAATATTTTGAAGGGCCATCGTCGTGATACTCGTAGCGCCACTTACAGTCACAATTAGTGAACTAAAAATTACTGAAGTGCTTTGGACGCGCCACTGCAGTGCTACAAACGTCTAAAGGCGCCCTAGTCTGCGGAGTCGGTAAGGGCCATAGATTTAGTATATAGGTACGGGCGCATCGCGTTCGAAGAGTACTTACTTTCTCAAACACGTATCTTTTAGAGTGATTATTTTATTATTAATTTATATTATAATAGAAAGAAATAAATTTCTTTTCTTATTTGTATGCATTACTTTAAGGATAGGTAAAAGCCAGTGTGTGAATATGAAGGAAATGTGATGTGAAATCAGCAATTGTGTATACTGCATTTTTGAAAAGTAAGGCGACGATATGTTATATGGAATTCTATTAGAATATAACGATTTTATAGATGTATGTAAAAAATGTATGTAATACATGTGTGGTAAAGCTAATCTGAAGGTCGTATTCCAGAACTCTACTCAATGCTCAAGTCAGGACTTGAGTATGATTTCAACTTTTCAAGCACTGGAAATACGACCCCAATAGTATAGGCCTTGAGTATGATATCTAGTGCTTAAAATCATATTCAAGTCCTGACTGAAGCATTGAGTAGAGTTCTGGAATACGACACTCATACTAGTCAAAGAAGTACACGTAAATCCCAGTAAATATTAGTTCCATTCCTTTATTTATAACAGTATTTTTATTGTTATGTATTATTTGTACGCCAGCGTAGAATTTAGGTGGTGAGGTGGGGGGTCGGTCGCCACTCGCGTCCCGCAATACGCGCGCACGAATGAGAACGGGTGGAGAAAATTTCCGACGCTGATAAATGCTCGATGGCGACTGACGCGGCAGCTGGCGGCGCGGCATGGGCAATTTCCAAGTTTTGGGATAAATATGAATTTAATAATTATGGCGCTTCAGTTCATCAAAATTTAGTAGGTTCTCTGTAGTACTTAAAAATAAATATCTTCATATGAAAACTATGTCCAAAGTTAAATATTTTATTCATAAACAATTCGTTTTACACTTATTTAGCCTGTTTTCGGGATTTATATGATCTAGTAAGGTAGCACATCATATCGTGTAACGAATTAGCACATTCTTTAGACAATATCTATTGGTATTGTATATTTTTTAAGACTTAAAACCAATAAATAAATATACCATTTGATTTTGTAAAACAGTTACTCCCGCTTCTCTTCCGGTGACTCGTCTTAAAAAATCTGAGGCGTAGTGTTCGCGCCACTATGTCTGTGGTTCGCGCAAAGCCGACAAATTTTAAGCACCGGCTAATTGCGCGTAAAAGTCACGCGATTGTTGTAATCAATAGAAAGCTCGATATTTTGTTTACATTATAACGAATACAATTGTGTAATAATAAGTTATTAGAATAATTTAATAAGTCGAAAGCTTGACTTTTTTGGTTTACGCCACTATTATTCCGACGTATTGATATCAATAGCTTCCTAAAAAAGAATATTATATCGACTTGATTTTGGGCTACCCACCATAGCGAAGGTCTGTGCCGATTTTAGTATTATAATCATAATACCTACTATGATTTTGCCATAATATCATTAGGCCTTACACAAGTATTATTAATATAAACATAAAACAATTCATAAAAAAAGTTTCATTTTTTAGTGGGGTTCGGAATGGGAACTATGCATGTTGTGGAACTACATCCTCCAATACTTAGGGTCGTATTCCAGGGTTCTACTCAATGCTCAAGTCAGGATTTGAGCAGACTTGAATATGATTCAAGCACTGGAAATACGACCCTAATGGCAAGGACTTGAGTATGAGTCCAGTGAGCACTGAAAATCATACTCGAGTCCTTGCCATTAGGGTCGTATTTCCAGTGCTTGAAATCATACTCAGATCCTGACTTGAGCATTGAGTAGAGTTCTAGAATACGACCCGAGGATGAAAGTTTCCATAGTCTAATTATAAGCATTGACGTCGCAATTTCATTGTCAGTTTGACATTGACAGTAGCAACTTGTATTGTTGTAGAATGAACGGATTGCCCGATTGCTATCAATTCACAAACTAATAAGAGATACTATATCAATTCAATCAATCAATCTAAAGCCGAAGTTGAGTTTTTGTTTGTAGATTGTCATCTGCAATTTTTTTGGAAAACTGTGTGATTTTCTTGAAAAACTATGGAAGGTGTCAAAGTAATAACTCCGGACTACGTGAATGTGCAGATCACGAAGTCTGATAGTGAGGACCAGCCCGTAGAAAGAAGATTCAAAAAAGGAATCACCGTGCTCGAATTCAAGGTTAAGTGATACATATTATTTTGTTGCTTTTTTAATTTTTTTTAAATATTACAAGTTAAATTCTGTTTAAGAAAGGAGAAGTCAGCACCGGAAGCTGCCCTTACTCATATTTTGATGAGTAAATCCAAAAATGCTATATGAATCATTGTTGTTAAACTACAGAGAAAGTTGTTGTTATTCCAGGGTTTATTTTCGTATACATACAATACATTGTTGCGAAGCTATAACATCTGCACACTGTATTTGAAGATTAGTAACCCAAACCTAACCTAAGTTTGTGATAAAAATAAAAACTTCATAGCATAAATATGTTATGAAATATTTATCAACCAAACTTTTTTGAAAATTAACAAAACATTACCTTTTCAGACAAAATTAGAGCTTGTCACTGGAGGCTCAGCGTCCACGATGAAACTAAAGTTATATGACTCTAAGAACAACTACAAATGTGACATAGACAATGATAATGCACTTCTGGGTTCATACCCCATTGATGATGGCATGCGAATACACGTTATTGATAAGTTCACTTTGCTCAAGGACTTTGGTACTTCCGATAGTGCTGAAAGGTGAGCTGCAAGAGATTTAAAAGAGATATAAAAGATCATTTTATTTTATATTTTCTTATTTAAGAGCGTGGCTGTTATTAGTTGCTAAGTATCTCTGTTCTGCACCCTAACTCGGATTTCTCGGCACAACAAGACAACTTTTTGCAATATTGATTTTATTGAATATTATGATGTTTTACTACAGGCCTACTGTTATATTGTTGTTATATGAAACAACAATAAAAAAAAACTATTTCATTGATAATTCAAATGATTAGACAAGCCATTTAGTACTTTTTTCAATCAACTCGTTATTGAATATCTTCTGAAAAGTCTCGTTGAAATTATCCTGTGTGCAGAATGGCATAAATGTTACATAAACTGTTACTCCTTTACTGTGCAGCTACCAACCAAAAACCAACTCAGTTAAGCGGTCGGCCTGTACTATGATATCCATTTATTTTTTACAAAAAATACACACAGGCTCATGTCCTGCCAGATGAACAAATTTTCCTGTGTTCAATCTTTGTATAAATAATAAGTAGAGTTATTTTCCAAAAAATAAATACAGGTCGTGGTAGTAAAACTACCATCCATTTCTTGTCAACATCTGGTAGCTTTCCTAGATTTCTCACATGTAAGTAAGCCATTAAAACTGAAAACAATGCTCGGTAACAAACACAGAGAAATATGTAAGATCTGCTGATTCAATCTATACCTCAGTTGGTAGGTTTTTGTTAGTAGTTTGATGGCATTATGCCAATGCTCGATTCTCGTTTGTGTTTTTTTATTTGGTGTTACTATGTAAAGATTTACTAATGTGCACTATCAACCCACATTAAATTACCATTACAGATTCAGGCTATCAGAAGAAGAGTATGAGAAGAAAGGAGATACACTCCGGTCATTTTTGCAGCGCAACAGGCTTGGCAAGTACAATGAGGAGGAGATGAACAAACTTAAGGAAGAGCAGCAGAAAGAACTTGAAGAGGAGGCTAGGTGAGTTAAATTTTGTAGGATACAAACAAACATATTTTAAGATACAGTGCTTATGATGTTAAAGGACATAACTATGAACATAAATGAGAACTAAATGCAATTATTTGCCTAAGAGTGTCTTAATTACTAATTTTGGTGAGAGCCGATGCTGCCCTGAGGATCGAGCAGTTGGAATCCCGCCACAATGGATTTTAATTCATTTGTGATGATAGTACCAACTCAATATTTGTCGACCTTCATGAAGGAGGACTTCGCCAAAGGGTGTTATGTACCGACCTTTATGAGGACGGTTACCAGACACCCACATTACGTCACACGTCGCGGTCTAACGTGTAAATAAATAAATAGTGCTATTATATTATGTATATTAGTCTATAAGGTTGGGTGTGGGTGGTTTTTGTGGGACTGTGTAACCTGATCATAAATAAAAAATTTATTACTTATTTTATCACTGACAGGCTAGCAGAAGCTGTTTTAGTAGGTACTCGCTGTGAGGTACGAGTACCACAGCAGCCGGTGCGGCGTGCCACCGTCCGCTACAACGGGCCCCTCGAGGGCGCTAAAGGCTTGTGGATCGGAGTGCAGTACGACGAGCCGCTTGGCAAGAACGATGGGTCGTGAGTATAGTTATTTCGACTGTATGTTGGTAGTCCAACTTACTATATCGTCGGCGATAGTGCAATTACGCGTAACTAGCATTGGAATATGAGTTCCCATTTAGGTAATTTAGTGGCCAAGTCAAATCAAAGATTTACGTGTATCCATTGTTACCAATCCATATACAGCATGAAATATTGCTTGCTGTGCGCTGTGCAAAAATGAAAGTCGTAGGCATTGAAATAAAATAATAACGATAAATCCCTCTCCTGTAGAATTTGGTTTAGTACAGATACGCGCTTTTTACCAATACTACATAGGCGGAATTGCACTATCCCCGACGATATTACATTTTCTTTACTTAGTTTTGTTTTAAATAGAGAAACTACCGTGAGACTTGGACGTATTGACTTAACTAATGGAATCACGTATTTAAGTCGAATTTTTGCTCGATATGTTTCGAAACAGTCTGGGGTCCTTAATCAACAGCTTCCATGACGGTGATTTGACGAAATCTGCGCGTCAAAGCCCTGACAGCCCGGTCACTTAGTAACAGTGGTGCCAGATTAGGCGATTTTTCGCCATTCGCGATATTTAGGCTATGTTTGAAATAGGAAAAGGGAAATGGGGAATTATAAACTTGATTGGGGATTTTGTGGGGAATGGAGTTGTAAAACAACTCAATTGGGGGTTTTGATTAGTTCTACGTGTGGGGAAATAAGAGAATTCATATTCCACAATCTCTGGCAGCAAATAGAATTATAGAATTGTTTTCGTGATTTTTAGGGATTTTATGGCTTAGGCGAATATCGGCTACTTAACACACATAAATTGGCGAATTAACTTCGCAAAAGTCTAGCAACACTGCCTTGTAGGGGTGAGCGAGGGATCGCTCATGATTAAGGACCAAGGACTGGCCCGAAACATGTCGAGTAAAAGAATTCGATTTGAATACATGATTTATTCGTTAGTTTAGTTAATAGTTTTGTTTCTTAATATTAATTGAAATTTAGAATAATACGTCACTGTAAATAATCCATGATAAAGCTAATTTAAAATGTTGTTAACAACTCAATGCAATGCACCTTGCAACAATTCCTTAATTATGACTATTGCATAAAAAATAAACAAATTAACTATCAGTGCTATTATCTTTTTTATGTTACTGCGTTATTCTCAGTCTTCCATAATTTTCGTATTTCAGGGTAAACGGCAAACGTTACTTTATCTGCCCTCCGAAGTACGGAGGCTTCGTAAAACCGGTGTACGTGACTGTGGGAGACTTTCCTGAGGAACCCTGTGATCTTGATGACGAGATATGATTACACGAATTTTATAAGACGCATCTGCCGTCTCAAACGCTTCAGCGATTTCATAGAAACAACAGATGGTTGTACATAGGAATATTATTATTTTACTTTTTGAATATGTATGCCATAAAGACACTGAGATTATATATGCAAAATGCTTTTATTAACGTACACGACATTTGCAAATTAATCTTCTGTGAAATCGTAAAGCTCTTCTGGATGTTGTATTAGTATGCTGAGTTTTGAAGCTTGCAGGCAGGCTGAATATTTTATTAAGTTTAGAGCTATATTATTGTACCTAGTTCAACTAGAAAAGACCCAGCACATATTGGGTTCAAGACTGAATGCTTCGTAAATAAACAAAATGACCATTGTTATCATAGAAAACAATGGTGGTGTGTGTGCAGTAGTTATCGTGTTAATTAATAAGGTCGGTTACATGATTGCATTTAATAACTAATTAGATATACAAGCAAAATATCCTATTAACAATACAATAACTAATTGTTATAATCATGTTTGTATGGCTAAAACCATGGTACTGTATTTTATGAGCTTTATTTATACTTGAACCTCCAGGATGTATTTTGTTACGCGTCGTGCTATATCACGCTTACGTCGTAATCATATTTTAATGCAATTCCTGTGTGATATATTATGTTTATTGTCTATGTTTCTATAGGATTTTATAAATAACAAATCTTAATCATGGCGTTGTAAAAATTGGAGACAAGTGTCACATTCCAGTTTAATTTACGTTAATACTCGAATTTTACACCATTACGTGTAACGCACTTTGTATAACAGTTTAGGTTTAATTAATTGTTCTTTTTAACATGAATAAAAAAAAATTAAAAAACGGTCTTTGATTTGACGTTTCCAGCCAACAACGTAGCTGTCATATGGTCCCAAAATCACTCCTTGGGGAACACCTTGGCGTTACTTTAAAACCAAACCTGAAGTAACGACTTTTATAACTAGATTTTTTATTTCAACACAAATCTATAAAACAAAGTCGAATCAAGCTTTTAATGCTCAAACCATAAGCCTAAACAAAATGACACATATGTGGTACACTAAATCAAAAGCCTTCTTTAGTACAAAAGTAATCTTTATTAGCACTAACTAAACTTAGAACTTCCTTCTCTTCAATATTTCCGGTCGCCAGTTGATAGGATGCGTTTCTTCTGAGGCAGTGTCATCTTCGCGGTAGATCTTGATAGTTTTGTCAGCCTCTGTAGTGATCAGACGAGATCCTGACTGGTCAAAAGTCATTGCAAAGATACCCGCTTCTGAATCCATTGAACCTGGTTGTACAGCGGCCTGTGGATATATAGTTAGGTTTATTTCAATTGTAACGGAAATAAGAGATGCATATACCACATATTATTTGAGAACCAATACAAGTGGAAGGATACAATGTAAATCTACCAAATTGGAGTATATTAACATTCAAAATACAACATCCATAGTCTTCACCAAGCTTGATTTATGACCAGTTTCAACTTTAAAGTCATTGCCGATATATTTTACTCACTCTTAGCTTAAAATGGATACTATGATATGTATAAAACTGCACAACATTATATTGTCTTGTGGAACATACCTGCAGTCTCTGGAAGTTGTATCCCGTTCGCCAATCCCATAAGAACATAGTGCCATTATCTCCGCCACTTACTAACACTCCTTCAGGGTTGACTGCCATGCAATTTACTATTGCATTATGTCCAGAAAGATTTTGTATAAATTTTCCTTCAGGGCACTTCCATTGTTTAATATTATCTGGCGATGCAGAGGCAAATGTGTATAAAGTGGGATGAATGACAATAGAACGGACTGACTTCTTGTGATTTGTCAATGTGCAGAGGGATTTGCCTGCTGCGAGGTCCCATAGACGGATTGTGGAGTCGTGCGAGCCAGTTATAATCTGTAAGAACGTAATACAGATAAAGGATATGATGCTCAAATAAATATATAAATATTACATCCTGGTATCAACATATGAATTCAGAGAACAGTCAAATCTTTTCTTCAAGCGCTTCCTATTTCTACTCTTACAAATGCAAATGCCAAGAGTTCTAAATACAATACAAATTGCTCTAGCAATAACTACTACAACTTCAATAAATATATGAAAATCTAAAATACCTGAGGTTCTGATGCCTGACAGGCTAATGAAGCGATAGTATCTGTATGTCCTGTCAGCGTGTGCACATTGGCTTTCGTCCTCATATCCCAGATGCGTGCAGTCGCGTCACGCCCAGCAGTCACTAAAACGTCAATTGTTGGATGCAGCGCTATTGTGTACACGGCTGAAAGGTGTCCATGATAGTGACGGATAACCTGTGCAATAAAGATAAAAATGAGAGATTTAGTAAGATTACGGCCTGAAAACACGTCTTGGGGAACACGTAATTGTTGTTGCTAATACGTATAATTCTAAAGTTAAGTAAATGATTTTCTCCTACTTAGTTACTAAACACAACAAAAATAAAGTAAATGCGTGATATCTTAATACCTTGATATACACCCAATGTTTTTAGGTAAGGCTTGCCTCTTTACGCCGACGTATCTCAGTGTACACATAGTTTCGAACATTTTGTGTGAGCATTTGAAAGCCTTGGCCCTCACGAATCATTCAGTGTTTTTGGGATATAAACATCTGGGTTTCATAATATTAATTCCACATAGTATATTAATACCAATAGAAATAATAAAATGAAAAAAAAATGTGATTCCCACGAATATTGCCTCGGAGGCCCTTGGTACTGAACATGTTAATGCCATTGAATATGATGATTGTCAAACTTGCCACAACAAGTGGCATTACATGGTAGTATTATCGCATGTAACAGGTTTTCTCTAAATAGAAATAATTGAACAACACAGAAGTAAAGTTTAAATTTAACCTTATTATATTCCAAATCCCAGCATTTCACTTGTCTATCTTCACCACAACTGAACAAATATGGATGCCTTGCTGACACCTCCAACCCTGAAAGAAAATTAAATATATTAATAACCTACTGGAAGCTTTTCATTAATTCTCAAATAGTAACAATAAAGTGAGCACAATTTATAATTACTTTACCTCTAACTGTGCTAACATGTCCAGTAAGTGACACTTTTAGTTTGCCACTAGCAATGTCCCAGATTTTTATTACTCTATCTGCAGCACCTGTAAGAAAATTTTGTAATTACAATTATGATGCAAAGGATCTATCGTGATCAGACAGACAGACAGACAGACGTAGTGATTATACATTATATTATAGATATGTAACATATCTATATTTTATACATAAAATGTACAAAAGTGATTTAGGAAGATTATTGTTATACAATGCGGTGCAGTGAGCCTTTAGAATATTTAGGTTCTTTTGCTTTATTTCTTGTTATCATATCAGTGAATTTTTTGTCACAATTGGTCGCCCTAGGCCCGTGCCTACTGGGCCTTAGGGCAAATCTGCCACTGAATCTGACACACAAAAAACGGGTTATGAAGTTGATATAGTAAACTTAACCACCTCATGCTTAAATGTGTGGTTAATATTTAAACATAAAGTTTACATACCCGTTGCAAACCACTCATTGCCGGGTTCAACAGCAACGCAGCGTACCCAACCCAAATGTCCAGAAATCACTCTGAATAGTTTCCATGGAGCGTGCCATTTTGGTTTGGGCATGGTTGGTGCCTTCTTGGGCAGGGTGGCGACGGCACCGGCAGGAGCTGCCGGCGCCGGAGAAGGCGATGGGCCCGTATATGGGAGCATGGCGCCGTCGGAACCGAGAGCTGCTGATTCTGCCATTTCTGAAGAGTAAATTAGGAATTACTATGAACTGCTGTGGTTCCTTATCAGGAAAGACTTTATTTAGCTATTTTTAATTAGGGCATCAAATAATACTGTCAAACTAGTCATTGTCAGTTCCACCCTTTTAAAATGCCTCTCTCCATAAATAGAGGTATAACGTCATATTCAGTTTAAGATGGTCTATGATTTGCCAACTTAGAGCAGCAGATCTCCCTAATGAATAAGATGCTTTTGAGATAAGCCACTATTCTAGAAAGCCTTTAATGTGATTTTTCATATAGAAATAGATTTTGTAAAAATTTTTGAAGTTCCCGTAATAAATTAAAAAAATATATTATATATAATGAAACTTACCTGTATCATGAGGAGTCTCAGGCCGGCTCATGGATTCGTGTTGTTTCACAGCCTGTGCCTTTTGCACTGTTGCCATTACTTGCCCGTAGCTATCGCGTGCTTTGATGGACCGTAAGATTTTTTCACTAAAACAATAATTTTTTCATATATTTGAATGTGGAGCCGAACCTAACCTTCAAAAACCTAAAAAAAGGCTTAAAAGTATGGGCCAGAGTAGGAAAAGGAGCGCTACGAGAATGTGATACCCTTTCTTTTAACTTTTGTTATAAATTGTGTTTAATGCTTGAATGGATAGATTACACTTAAATATACATTTTTATGTGTACAGCTAGTTATTGCGAAAATGAATGGCCCGGTTGATTTATCAAATTTTGTTATAAATTATTTTATCGCTTGTTTCAAATAAATTAGACCTTTGTTTTTACAAATTTTTCTCTGCCCCTTATAGTACTTAAATTTCTAACAATTTCTAATACCTGGCTTGTTATTTTGGCTGTTTTAAATGATTTTTATTAGGAAACGTAATAACCTACAAATAATTAACAACACGATTGTTTTTATAGCTTATTGTGTAAGTAAAAAATTGGAAAGATACTTACGCAGTTTCGTCAATTGGGGGCAGCATTCCCTGGTTAGATAGAAACATATCATGAGATCTTTTCAATGATCTAAACACTAATGTGTGCACTGAATGTTTAATCACTTCGTCCGCCATTTTCGCTGTTTCTTTTTACTTGAAATTGTAATTACTTTGTAGAATTACTTATAACTTTATGGAAATGAAATTATTTCTTCATAATTATTTATTAATAATGAAATAAAAATTCGTAACTTTGCGTCGGGACGCTTTTTAGCAAATGTCAATTTGACGTTACAAATTTATTATTTATTAGGATTTTTGGCTTGGATACAAGAACTTTGAGCCAGGTCTTCATTTTAGTTTTCGGGCTCCTCATTAAATATTTTCTGTTGTGTAGAATGTACGTACTTGTAGAAAGGCAAAAAGAACTTTGGGTTTTTTGAATAGTCTTTTAAGTGGCGGGAGCTATTATTTATGTTTTCACTTTCACTAAATCACTTGGTTCACTTGCTAATAAAAGACGTTGAATTTTCAACATGGCTTGTTGCGGGTATTTCTTCTTGTATGTTTCCATACCATTTTCGTTCGATATCTTGATCCTTCTTTTAGAAACTTTTTCATAATGTTGTCATAATCTTAAATCGAACATTTGAAACGTCCTTCCACTTCAAATTCCCGCCATTTTTGTTCAATAAATGTACTAATAATAACGTCATGTGTTCGTTTAAAAATCAGTATTCAGTACCACCCCACACACTGCCTCAAGACGTGCTTTTTAGGTTTATGTAATAGGAAATGGGGTCTTGATTAATTTACATTAATAAGTTTGATACACATTTATTTAATACTCTTTCTATTTTTATTTAAGTACGTACAAAAATGATGGTTGTTAAATTATAAATAATTTTAATTTATTAGCTTTGTAAAGAAATTACGAGTATCTCTACTGTTATTATGATAAGTGACTTGCGGAGAATATTATAGACATCAATAAATTTACATACAAAGATTCTATAGATATAGTGAGATAGACAAATCGATGTTAGATAGATAGTGTTTGTGACTAGAACATGTGACTTACAATCTAAAAGACTAGTAACTAAATATGACTAAATGCGTTACAGAATTTACATTGCACATTGCTACTAGAAATATTTCCATAGAAACTTATTTACACGGGTAAAAAAGGTAGGAGATCTATGCTATGGCGTAGATAAGTAGTATAAGCAAAGCCACACTTAGCAGCCACACACAGTTCTTTGGAGATTATGATTCTTGATTATTGTAAGATGAGTGTAAAAAATGGCCCTTACACAAGGCGGTCGACGGCGGGTTGCGTCGGCTGCCAATCGTAGTCCATTTCGGTGGAGTCGGCGACGGAAAAGACCGCGCCATTCTCGGTTCAGATAGCCGATTTTTCAGGGTTATTCGCATCGCTTACTCGTCGAGAATGCGCTGTCCTTCGCAGCGTTCGTGGCTGAAGGTTCAATGGAGGTAAATTTGGACGCTCAATCCTGGTTGGAGATGAGACCAACGGTCTATTCCCTCGGCGCATAGTGTCTAGTCCATTGCGGAAATATTCCTCAGTTCTTTCAGCATAGCTTTCTATCAGGGGCGCAGGGTCTTCGTATTCCACATTAAAGTGGCGAGTGATTGCCAAGTCTTCAGGTGGACCGAGCTTGTAAAGTGGAGGTTCCACGCATTCGTAATGGTGGTCTTCAGTCTCATCGTGTGGATAGGTGTCAGCGACAAAATGCCTGGTGCCTCGCGGAGTCAGGGCAGCCCAGAGGACGCGAGAGTCGAGCGCTGCTCCTCCATAGAGAGCGTTGGAACCGCTCGCTTTTCCTGTGCCGCTTTTGCATCCACCCCGAGCCCTGTATAACAAAAGACCATTTGAATTATCGATACTTGCGAAAGTGCTTCAAAAGGCCGGAAAAGTTTTGTGTTCTATTCTGATAATGCAATGGAGGACTCAAAATTTGAAATACTCACTCTCGACATTTGAGCAAAAATAGAGCCAGCAGAGCCGCTATGCAAAGCACGGCGATGCAGCAAGTGATCAGAACCAGGAACCACGTATCATCGTTAGCTGCAGGCTCTGCAAAAAGAACATTTTATGAATGATTCTCATTTTTGAATCCCGAATTAAATTTGGTGGGTTCGTTTTACCAACCGGATCTAAGAGAGTTTCAGAAGCATTAGAGCTCCTTGTGAAAGAGTTCGTCCAGGGAAATACTGCCACCTTACCTATTTCTGCCGCCAAGCAGTAATGTGAACATAATTGCGTTCCGATTTAGAAATTGCATTAGGAGAAAGATTTCGCGCGGCCGCCCTATTACCACGCCTTCGTGGCAACAACATTTAAATTCCTCTGAATAATACAACCGGTCGCCGCACGGGTCGTCGCGTACAATTTGATACAGTAAGACGATTTTGTTTTCCACAACAAGATATAAGCGGAAGTAACGTCATGACAATAATAACGCACACATTCATCCGAGACCTCTGCGTGGCGCAGTCCAGCATGTTAACCGTTCGGCCACAGAGGTAGTTGACAATGATACTAACAACTAAAGATCAGGCCCCGTTCTCGAATTGGATATCCCTTGGAAGTTAAGGATCTAGTTCAATGTTTTCCATCGCAGTTTTCTGATTGACTTACCGTGTCTAGGCAGCTCGTGGTATTCCACACCGGGAAATAAAGCGTTTTCTTCCTGATTCTGCAGAGGAGGGCACATGGAAGCCTTGCACGGTGGGGTTAAGTTGGCAGCATTGGCGAGGAAAGCCGGTAAAGGCGGCGGCGGCATGTGCAGAATGGAGTCTGGCGGAGGCCCGAGAGACAGGCATTCTGCTCCGCACGTCATCCTGTAGCAAAATACAATTAAATAAAGGCGGACGGTTTTATGTTGACTTGTAACTTTAAACACTCTGCCACTGATATTAATAATAATATACATTATTTATTTTAATTTCATGAGAGCGTTATAAGAGCGGTAGTAGCCCAGTGAGAGAACGGTCGCTTCTCGCAGCATGTACCTATGACTTTAATGTCTAAGTTATGTAAGCTTGTGTTTGTTTAGTAGCAATTGCTAACCACAACCCTCAACAAAACGCGTGCAGTCCCCAACAAGCATTGACTATGGCAAGTCTCCTCATGGAGGAGGCCTGTCCCCAGCAGTAGCACGTATTGCCACCTACCTATAATGATTTGAGAGAGAGTCGATGATGACGATGGTTTAATTTCACAAGGCTTGGTTCGAAAACGTATAATGTACATTAGTAAAGTAATTTAAACATGAAGTCGTCAAAAAGACTGAGTGTATGGTCTTTGGGGTTGCCGGCAAAAAGAGTCCTGAAAATGTGCTTCCTATAATGCTCAATAGAATTTCATTAAAGAGAGTATCACATTTTAAATACTTAGGACACTATAATGCCGACGATCTCAAGAAGGACTTTACGGACATGGAACGCGAGTGTAAAGCGCTGTCAGTAAGGGAGAACATACTGGTTCGCAGGTTTGCTCAATGTACGGCGGAGGTGAAGGTCAGTCATTTTTAGAGCCTATTGCATACTACTGTACATGAGTGCCTTGCCTAAGTAATATAAAAACTCCTTCAGGACGCTGCTGCGGCTGCCACGGTTCAATGTGTCTACCATGTTTAAGCTCGATAGCTTCATGGCACTCTTACGGAAGAAGTCGGCGTGTTTATTAAACAGAATACGTGGCAGCAGCAACGGACTCCTGAAGACTATCACGGTAAGGAGTGAGTGCCATGTGATGCTGCATTTAATAACAACCACAAAATCCGTAGTAGGATTGAAGTACTAATTATAAGCTATTTTTGTTATTTTTGTTTTTGTTTTTGTGATTCGATGTCCGTAATAAAGATTTATTATTATTATTTTTAACCGACTTCAAAAAAAGGAGGAGGTTCTCAATTCGACTGTATGTTTTTTTGTATGTATATGTTACGCGATAACTCATTTGTGAACCGATTTCACGCGAACTAAACATCACCATATTTCAGTAAAACTTGGCAAATAGATGTAATTCCACGTACTTTTGAGGTCGGTTTTTTTGGTACTCTCTACTGAGATTATAAGCGATGCGATAAGCACTAAGTCCGGGTTCGATACTTATTAGGACCAATTTAGGAAACGACCTTTTCGAAATTATTTCTATTCATCGTGGTGTGGCAAATACCATTACAGTTATTCCTCCTAATTTATTACTAGGTAATAATTGATGTGAATATTTGGTATATTATTATTGATTTATTTATAAAGTGAGTAACTAATTTAAGAACTATGTAAATGATTTTAATACCACACTCTACAATATCCTAGTTTACTCCCAACTTTAGGAAAAATATCGCTTCATGTTTATCCATTTACTAAAATTGACTAAAAATATGTATACGTATTATATATATATTATGCTGAAAATACGTGGCGAGTACAAGAAATAGACGCTCAGGTATTTAGACGCCCTTTTTGACACAGGGATATAAAAATCTTAAATTAAAATCAAGATAACAAATATATAACAAATGTTCTGTTTGTTCAAATATAGGAAAAGTCCATAGCCAAAAAAATTTCAACACTAAACTAAGGAAGACTAGTTTTTCATTTCTCTATTTACTGATGTTTTCATTTTTCACACAAAGACTTGTTAGTTATTTAGCAAGAAACAAAAGACGATCAAAAACACAACAATAATGTTCTCAACACTTCTGTTGTCAATTGGGAAACATTTGTGTTAAAAACAACAGCAGCACTCACTTTTTAAATAATAATTTCTGCCTTTTTTCTACAAAATGGCTGCACTTTACTTTAGGTTCGGGTTACACTTGTCCGAATGTTTGGTCCAGGGATGCAGAGCGCAAGCGTAACTCTCTACTACGATATTGACTAACCAAACAAAAATTATTTCCATATTTCAAACAATCGCAATCCATAGTAGTTTGCATGTAGAGTTCCCACAAACGTAATCGAACAATAAAAGCAATGGATTGGCTAACTTTTAGCGATACACAAAATATTACATATCATAGTAGAGGTTACATTATTGATTCGCGCACGCGCGGGATGTATTCGCGACCCCTCGACTGTGGTATGATTAAAAGGTTAAAGCTAGAGTTGGCCTTTATGCAGTCATCCTTTTTATTCTTAAGTGAAAGTAATATGAGTGAAAGAGATGTCATATTTTAGGGGTTGAGTTAAAATTCTGTTGAAGAATTCAGCGATTTATTATGTGAAGTTATGGAACTTAATTATATGTCGAGTTCGTCAGTGTAATTTGAGCTCATTGTCTGGGTAATTTTATAATGAGCCATTTACATTAATTACAGGGTTGTGTTTTTTCAGGGTTTCTTTTTAAAATGTATTCAATCTCATTAGTTAGTTAATTACTTCTCTGGTAAATTCTAACAAAAGTCAGACGTTGGGATCAGATTACAAATATAAGATTAAAATTTTTCGTCTATTAAATAATTAATTACGCAATTATGTTGCTTAAAAATTTTATTAGAGTCTGGCTATCGAAAGATGAGACTGAGATTTTTTTAAATGTAGCTGATAACCGCAATATTTATGTCACTGTTTGAAAGTTGGTGTGTCAGTTGTATTTTGTTAGTCCCCTATGTATAACCAGAAATAGAGACGAAATGTCATTTAATTTGTTTGAAAATTATTCTGCCAAATCATTACGATGCCAACTGCGCTTCGATTGGCCAGGCCGAATTCGAAACAAATGACGAGTGTCATCAATTGTTTCACTTCAAATCGACCAGTTTAATTTAAGCTTTGCTATAATGGACGAAAATTGTAAAATTACATATTTAATATTTAATTACCGATGAAATATGATTCCGTTTGTTTTGTAATTAGATGTTTTGCTGTTTTTCCCATACCACCGAATGGAACATTACAGCCCCCCATTGTTATAGATATTATCTTTATTACAATAAATACGGGATATTTTTGGAAATTATGGAGACGTACACACAGGTCAGTTGTTGGCGCTGTACTTTCAGCTTTCTAATTTGTGATTTCAGAACAAATGAGAGTTGATATTCAAAAGTGATATAAGGCCCATTTGCTTGTTGTCAGGGATGGACGTCCCTTATTTCGGCCCTATTTCTGGTTATATACTTGATGGTGCCTTGCCTCACCGGGACGCCTTATCTGCGATTTTGTAAGTTTTTTAAATAATATTATCGAAGACTACGATACGAATTTCAATTTTCCCGCGTTTTTCCAATCTCACTTTTCGTTAACCAGACTTTATGTCAATATCCTTCAACTATACAATCTTCTTCTTGTCGTCTCTATGGCTTACACTATATGCTTGCCATCGTATTGAAAGGATATGCCAATCGGCGTAAGGTATTCGCCGATTGTAGCCCAGGTTGCATGGAAAAGAATGGTACGTCGTGTGGGGAATCTAATAACGCTTATACACTCATACTACGCACTAGGGAAACCTTGAATCGCGAGTGCCATGGACATGCATATAGTCAACCGCAAATTATACCCATTCACGAGAAAAATAAATGTAGGCCATACAAATATTTCTCCCGGACCGGGAATTGAAACTTTTGCGTGTAAGTCCAGTATGGTAACCGTTTGGCCACAGAGGCAGTTTCGTATACACAATAAACTACGTTCTACGTGTATTTAAAAAAGTACCGAACTAAAATTGAGAACTTTGTAATCAAATTTCTATTTAGCCATGCTAACTTTTTTTTATAATACTAAGCGACGGGAGGAGGAAGTCGTGCACGTGGCTGTAAACGTCACGCCTATGTATAGGTAATAGTTGCAGTGCCACTCAGAGCTTTAAAACTCCTCAAAGATCAGAGGGACACTGCCACCACACCCGTCACCCTGAAACATAAGGTAACAAGTCCCATGTGCCTGTAATTTCACCAGCACCCTTACCCTTCAAAATCGGAACGCAGTATTGCTCCTATTACTGATTGGCGGCAGAAATTAGTAAGGTGGCAGTACTTCCCTGGATGTACTCTTTCACAAGAAGCTCTACAGCTACTGAAACTAATTATCCATTAGAGCTTCTAATGCTTCTCATAAAGGTAATAAAGAAAAATTAGGTAATTAAAGCAGAACATTAGTTTAAAAAAATCCAGTCACGCGTAGGTCAGTTAAATTTTAATTAAACAGAAAGGAGACGCTCTATTTTAGTAGAAATTGCAATTAGAAGCGAATAAATAAACCATTTTTAATTCTAGTAACTTTATTTATAAATAGAATCTATGATTAGAATCATTATTTGTATTGAATATGAATTCAATACAAATGATGTCTGCGAAGCCGGTGTTATATTATAGCATAATGAGAGCTTCTGTACAACAATCACACAACTTTTCGCCCTCTCAATGGGTAACACAAAACAGGTCTGAAAAAAAGGAATAGTCACATTCATATGTTTGACGACCCCGTGGCCGACAGGTTTGTCCACCGGTTTTCATGGTGTCGCTATCTCTGAGGTCTCGGGTTCAATCCCCGGCCGGATCAGTGTAGAAAACTAACTTTTCTATATTGTCTGGGGTCTGCGTGTTTGTGGTACCGTCGTTGTTTCCGATTTCTATAACACAAGTGCTTTAGCTACTTACTTTGGGATCACAGCGACGTTGCGATGTTGTCTAATATGTGCCATATCACGTAGATTTTAAGAATAAAGTTAAAGAAATTCTACTCCGATAAAAAGAAATAAAGCATACTGGTCCGTTTCCCCTTTCCTTATCGGGGGACTAGATAAATTAACAATATACATACATCTAGTCTAGTATTAGTATTCAAGTATATTGTCGTGATAATATTAAACAATATTTCAGGATACTACACTTGAATATTGAATAATACTTCATGATAATCTTCTGAATATTTAAATACATCATTTGCCACTGAAGTTATATAGAGAAAAGTAATCTGAAAATTACGCATATAAATATGAAATAGAACAGATCAACATAAATGGCACATATCTTCAGCATTAGAACTGTGGAGAATTTAACAAAATATATTTAAAAAATCCTTTGAAAGTGATTTCACCAATTTTCGTTGCGCGCTGTGACCACTCTTCGGGAACTAGAATGATACAAATATTAATATAAAGATCGAGCGCAAACAAAAATTCCTTCGACCTCGCCAGACTCGAACCTGCATCTGTGCAATACATATATACAATATATGATATACAAGGAACTTGTTATACATGAAATGTAAGTACTCATAGACCTTTTTGAGAGAAATAAAGCATTTTGTATTTCGTATTTGTATTCAATAAAAGTCAATTAGAATGTTTTTTTTTGTATTAGTCACTATTCAAAGCTTTTTTGACTTCTAACTAACGTATAATGGTGTTTTTCTACCGGCGGGGCGAGACGAGACGAAGAGAGACGAGAATCGAAATCTCGCAGGCATATTTCCAATAAAATTGGCATTAACAGCTCGTGCGAGTCATCACATACTCGCGCGAGCCAACGCGACCTCGCGCGTGCTCGCGCTGTCCACAATCATGTGGACAGAAAAGATTTAGTGCTGTTCAGTTCATCTAGCGATAAATACGCGGCTGAAGTAACAGTAACATTATTATTATTCAGTATGTTAACGGAAGAATCAAACGAAACCAATTTTTTTTAAATCGTACGTACTCCATAATCTCGCGATTGATATTAATAGTCACGCCTTGACTCGCCGATGGAAAACCACCTTAATGCTTGTTTACATTAATTATATAAAGTCGCTTGATTTACCAGACGTTACACAGTAATAAAAATAAAATGATTATGTTACGTTTTCAGTTTCTTAATTATATGCTACATTTTTAAGCTTAAGCTGTTAACTCTACAGCCAATGCTCAATAAAAAATAATAAATAATGAATGAATTCTTAGGTTTTCGCGATTGTTACACTTAGGAAATGAAACTATTTTTCCGGATTTAAATCGCGTATATTTGTTTTTTCAAATTGGGACTTGTAAAGGGCCCGAAACGTTGGTTTGTTTGAAAAAACAAATATACGCGATTTAAATCCGGTAAAATTGTTTCATTTCCTAATGAATGAATGTTGAGAATTTTCCGAAAGCAACAAATCACTTTTTTTTTCTTATCGCAACTTTATCTACACTTGACTGGTGGACCATTTTGCAAGTATTGAAGTTCAAAAACTTTTCGTCCTTCGGAACAGGCTAAGTCACGACTTACACGTAATCCATACTGCCAGATTTTGATTTTTGTACAATAATTTAATTTAAATGCAAAGCCAAGTATTTAGTGGTTATGAGGTAAACTGTCAGATCTTGAGTTGACCTGTGCTTATTGTAGAGCGAGCATGTCTTTTTTTTCATAGTTAGCCTATAATATCGTCAGTGTTTTGTAGAATAAGCGACATTTCGTAGATTTTTCAGGGAACATGTTTTAGGCTTTAATTAGTTAGGTTATGGGGTTTTAATGACTGTTTAAAATATTTAACTCCTGTTTAAAAATTCAATTTTGGTTTTAATGAAGTTTAAGTTTCAAAATAGACATTACAAAACAGCACACACGTAAATATCTTAAGACAGTCGTTAAAACCTACAGCACAAAACACTCACGAATGAGTCCCAGTTGCGAAGCAGTAGGGCTCCTTGTGAAAGAATTCGTCCAGGAAAATACTGCTACGTTAATTATTTCTGCTGCCTAGCATTTATTTATATTGCGTTCAGGTTTTGAAGGGTAACTGTGCTCATGTGACGACAGACACATGGGACTTGACAACTTACGTTTCAGAGTGACGGGCGTTCATGCACTGCGTGACACTGCTACTGCTATGGACAGGCGTGTTGCGCAAACGACTTGTTTGTTCCGTCTCTTGGTATCATA